AAGCTCCCATGAAATCGGACTCGGCTTGAGGAAAATCGGAGCCAACCCACACCGACTGACATTCACCAGCGGAGGAATTCACAATGACTCCTGTCTCCGCATCATAGACATGAAACGCATGGTGAGGTCGCAAGACTTCACCGGAAGGACAAGCAGCACTCTTCGCCTTGGCAAGCAGCACGCGCAATTGCTGAGCTTCGGCGGCGGTCAAGGGAGCCGAAGACATGATTCTACAGGGAAAAACTGATTCTGTACACTTCAAGCTTGTCGAGAAGACCCTTTGGCCGCACTTGCTGTTGATAAACACTGACATGCACCCAGATGACCATTCCTCAAGACATTGCAATCTATCCGAAACTTACGAAGGTGTTCATCACCTTGCTACCTCTTCTGGAGAAAGGGGAGGACTACTTATATTTATAATGGGGAAGCATCCTCACATCTGCTCCCTTCAGATGGACTCTTTATTTGGGATTCACTGCTCAAACGTTTTTGGGTACGGCGGGCACGCTCATCGGCCTGTTGTGCCAGAACGAACTCCTCTGGGGAGATCTGATAGGATCCAGCTCGAACGCACGACCGCAAAAGGTCAATGGGATCTCCTTTGTCCTTTGTGAGACCATCGGCAATCATTCGATCAGTGGGCAACCATTCGATCAGTGGGCAACCAACGAACCTGAGCTCCAGTAAGCTTTATTGATTCTTGGATGATCACTATATCTATGCTGGTTCGCCTGTCTTCTACTGCAGTTGGAGATGATGGTGGGATGAGAAGTCATACAAGGATTTATTTGCAGTCCGTTGCAATGACCGGAGGTCGCTTGGCCAGCATGGACCGACATTCACGAATTTCAAAGCGACCGTCAAGGGCCTCTGCGAACATCAAGCTTAGCCACTCAACAGTGCCGGTAGCTGAAGCCATGGCTTGACTCTCTCCGCCAAATGCGGAGCTGACTGCCCGGGGCAAACGATAACTTTTCCAAGCTACGGGGGTCCAGCTAGCAATTGATCCATCATTCAACTTCTTTTCACTGAAACCCAAGATATACCCGCCTGCGTGTGAGCTCCTACGTTGGCGAAAGCTGCGCCTGAGTGGCAACAAATTAGCCTTACGAATGGCATTATTCGCATCTCTTAGATGTTTAATCTTAGGTTGAGGAAATGCCTGTTGTGAAAGACTTGCCTGCACTGCAATGTCTGGTCGTGACTGTGGCGACAACCAATTCAAGCTACCGTTGGTAGCCCTCAGCATTCGGATCTGCCCGGGACTCAGCAAGTCATCTGGCTTCGCACGCTTTGGGATTGTGGCCGGTCGGAGCTTTTCGGTGAACCACTTTTGAGACGTGATGGTCTTATTCGTGGGAGGCTGAGTGTAATAAGATCCACAAATTTATCCTTCACCTGCACGACACTTCCTGTAAGGAAACCTTCGTTTGAGTGCTGAATGGCTTTATTGAACTGTTCGCCTTGTCCACCAACCGCCGTGTCATCCACATGCACTCCAATGACGCCACACAGTTGATGACTATGAGGGTCACGGAGAAAATAGAGACACGCGTCAAAACGTGAACGCTCCCAGCCGCACTTCAAAGCTTCAGCGTCGAAAGTTCGATGCCATGCAGACGGTGCATCGTTCTGCCCATATAAATTTCCGGTGACCTCAATCACCGCATCCTCAGGAAGCCCTAGGATGCCACCATATGGCTGTTTGGCAAACAACAGTTTAAAAGACTCTGGAAGAGGACCTGCCTCAAGGAAGGCCCCCTTAATGTCCCCCAGTTGTAAAAGCCATCCATGCGATGCAATCAACTGCATGACAAGCATTCTACCAAGCTGGCTGAGAGTTGGAGACTGTAGCAAACCGGCTGCAACCTTTTTGTCAAGGTCGGGATCCAAATGGCCTTGCAAACACCGCCGGCTCTTGACTCTGAAGGATGACGGATCCTGTTCAACAATTGGTTATCTTCTTCCATGGCTTTCCGGGTGATTACAAAACGGCCACCAATGAAACGATCAGGTTATTTCTCTCTCTTAGCGGCGGCCTTACGACTGCAATGGATCCTGACTGCATGCTTGTCCAAAATGGTGTCCCACTCAGTTCATTTGGATTCATCAACCAGTTGCTGAAGTTCAGGGGGATTCTTCCGTGGAGGCAACTCCTTTGACATCTTCTTTTCCAGATAGCTAGGTATGAGAACTTCTATAGCAGTGTCTTTATCATCACACGAACTGCACAAATGGTTGATGTCCTGGACTGACATGATTTCATGAGTCTCAACACGGGCACGATGGCTTGAAGGTGCATCTCTAGCGGGCGATACACCCGCCTTTACCATTTACCCTGCGTCTCATAGGACCATAGCTTGATGAAGCAGATGCACTACTAGACTCGACTTCTGCCAAGGCGTTGGAGGCTTCTGGTAAACTGGACTTTTCGGGTTCAGCGGCAGACGAACTTGGCTCTGGCGCATCATCCACTGTGGGTGGTAACCCATGGTAACCCCACCGGCTGCGAGGACTCAGGAGTCTCACTGACTGGAGGAGTCTGAACTTCGTCAGACTCCGGTCGAACAGCATCGCTTGGTGGTGAACCTGCCCGACAAACTGATGACTTTTGAACGTTCCTTGATACCAAGTAGTTCAGTTTGAGGAGTGGTCACAACAGCTTTCTCCTCTGCAGTAGCAGGTCTGAGTTGAGTTGTTCTGGGGCCGCACGAAAAATCTGCTTTTGGTGGCCTATGATTGAGAGTTCAAAGTTGGGCTACAAAATTATTTTTTAGGTACGAGTAGATTCTATAAGCCTGTGGGCATAGGTTTCTAGTAGGTACAGGAGGGTCCATGGCAGGCCTAATTGGCAGAGGCGTCGACATGGCGACTACATTGCGGTGACATGGCGCCAACATGACGACGACACGGCGACGACATCACGACGACATGACGACGAATTGACGACGACATCGCGACGACACGACGACGACATGATGAGGACGTGACAACGACATGGCGACGACATGGGAACGATGCCACGTTGCCACCACATCGCCGCCACATTGCCGCCACATTGCCACGACATCGCCGCCACATTGCCACGACATCGCCGCCACATTGCCGCCACATTGGTTGCCACAACTGCCACAAGACCTTATTTCTGCCAATATGTGGCGGCGATGTGGTGGCAACGTGGCATCGTTGCCGTGTCGTCGCCATGTCTTTGTCACGTCCTCGTCATGTCGTCGTCGTGTCGTCGCGATGTCGTCGTCACTTCGTCGCAAGTCGCCATGTTGTTGTCACTTCGTCGTCATGTCGTCGCCACGCCCTGGCCATGTCGTTGCCATGCGCGCTCTAATTTGTCGCAGGATGGACAAAGTGTCCCCATCATGTTGAACACCAACTGCCGCAATGAACTGCTCCTGAAAGGACTGAACACATGCTGCACCAGAGTCAGAACCCTTGGCTGTACCACCTCCAGGACCTTTGCCTTTGGAGGCCTCCTTGTATTCACGAGACCAGTGTCCCACCTTTTGGATCCTTTTGGCACTTGTGACACCGCGTACGGCGTTTCAACTCCTCGATCTCCACCCTGTATGACTTCTTGAGATCAGTGGCGGCGGAAAACTTTCGGTTCCGCTGCATTTTGTTGAGCTCACGATGCTTGTCACGCCAGCTAACAGCTAACGCCTCAGCGGCTTCATGTTCCTCATAGATGTCCACAGGTCCATCCAGTTGAGAAAGGCTATCATGCTCAGCTAGAAAGGCCTCAACTTCTTGCACTACATTGTCCGTCTCGGTCTTTTCAGGGTCCGATGGTTCCACATCAACCAAACCAGCACCAGTTGTTCGACGCTTCGAGACGACAAACTCCGTATAGCAAGACCGCATGGCCTTTCCAATTGCCACTCGTCCCAGATCACCTCCACTTCGGGCCAATACCACAGCTTTCTGTTCATTTCAGACCAGATCTATGCAGGATGAGCCATCCCCTTCGCCTCTTCCGGAAAGGAAACACCGCACTTCCGGTTGCACCGATCAAAAAGTTCTGTGGCCCTTGAGATCCATCCTCCATCACTGGACTTCATTGAACACCTCTGTCAGCACCTCGGACAATCTCGGACATCTCATCAGAGGCGTCTTTCTGAGGAAACCTCTCGTCAAGGAGCTTGAAGAGCTGTTTGCCATTCTCCACCTGATACTCAGTGGGATCCAGATGCTCCACGCACTCCAGAGCATGCCCGTGTAGACGTATGCCCCTCTGGCTTTCGCCGGGACCTTGATGTCCAGAGTCAACAGCTTGTTTGTTACCCAGGTCTTCCATCGACGGTTTCACTATCACCTGTGAAGGTCTTTGCAGACCCTTCTGCAACAGATGCAGCGCCGGCCATAGCGATCATGTGAACCCGCATACTACTGCGGAGCCCCACTTTGGAGGCTCCGCTACCAATGTTGAAATGGTAGCTGGTTCAAATAGGCATTCCTATGCCTCACACCATCGGGTGTCCTTTTCGCTCGCTTGAGACAATGGTTCCCTGCAGACGAAAGGCGACGTGTGACACCCTGCACACTGGAAAGGCGCTCATGTGAGCACTGCTTCATATATATATATATACATAGTCTAGAGTATAATCTGGTATATTACACATAAATATATAGAAACTATGTGTTCTGAACTTTTCTCCTCTTAGCCCAAACTTTCCTCCCAAACGCAAGAAAGGGCATTTTTCAACACAGAGCCTCAAGCATGGCATACCGACAAGTTTCTGCAATAAATGCTATAGCTAAGAAAGGCAGTGTCAAGGAGTGGCTGTGCACTTGCTCCTGTACTTCTGTACCTTATTGAGCCTCATCGACTTAAATGAGTCTTGGCTCAGGCCAGCCACCTTGCAATTCCGAAGCAGCAAAGAACCTAAGACAATTAAGCATAATTAAGCAATATTAAGCACATGGAACAAAAACCATCCAAAAGCAATCTTCATTCCATCTATTTCCATCTCATCTGAAAGATTGGCAATTGAACGATTTTGAAATCGATGGGGGCGGGCCAGGCCAGGACTGTAGGACAGCTGTACGGCTGAATCTGTCGTATATCGCAAAGCCAGATCACATAGGACCAGGTCCAAATTTGACGGTGACAAACCGCAAAATTTAAAAAATACTTTTGCACATCTTTGAACATTCAAGTATCACACCACAAGAACATCTATCTTTCAACGTCAATTACATTGCTACCTCCAGCACTTGGCCCATTGGTATCAATGGGTTGCCCATCAACTGAAAGATTTAGAAAGCTCACACCATCTGGGCCAATGGATGCCGAGCATGATGCAGTGCCAGATCGTTGGTCACCCTTAACTTCAAACTGAAGTTGCACCTGCGTGCTCTGCTGTCCATTGATGTTCATGGAAGAGTAGGACTGGCTGAAGATAGGGCCACATTCCACACGGGAGCCCAGGCGCCCACTTCGAGTCAAAATCTTCTCTGCTTCTGAGAGCACGCTTTGAATGTCATCCTGGCTATCCTTTAACAGACTACCCATCATTCCGACTGCCGGACGCAGGAATGATCCTAAGATTCCAAGGGCTCCTGGAAAAGATGATGCTTCAGCCAAAGGAGCAGGATCTTTTTTGTCCCCGCCAAACAATGACTTGATGCTATTGCCAATCTTTTCGATGAAGTTGCTCCCCTTCGGTTCATCTTCCTCCCCCAGCTTCTTCTTCAACTCCGCATTTTCACGTTTCAGTCGACTTAGCTCCGACTCGCCACCAAAGAACATCCGTGCTGTGCGGGTTTGGACGGGCTGTGATGATGAAAACTGGATCGGACCCGTTGCAAAGCTCTTCGGCTGTGCACTGAAAGGGAGGGAACAAGCCACACATACAAGTGTAGCCACTCCCCTAGAAAGTCTCAATCGCGATGGAATCCGCGCCATTGCAAACCAGCTGAGGCCCTATGTAGAGTCTCAGATATACATATATATATATGTGTATATATATATATTGGAAGGGAAACGTGTTCGTTTGTTTATGGTCTTGATTCGTTGGATTGTTTCAGCAAGAGGCATCCCTGCTTGACAAATGATTTGTCTTTGTGGATCTTGTTGGTTGCCCCTTACAGGGAAGCTGCTGCAGTCGACTGTTTCTCCGTGCATGCGTCTGAGCATGAATTTGGACGTCCTTCAACAAAACTGCAATCGGAACCACATCGGAGATCCAAGTGTTGCTTTCCTACACAATTGCGACTGCTATAGCATAGGCTGGTGCTTGCGCGGGCCTACACGCAGCAGGGTTTTGCTTACGCGAGGTCCTTATGGCCCCTCCCTTACTACCCTTAATTAATTATACTAACAATGAACAACGGCAACAACAGGTTTTGTGCGTGGCCTTGGTCAAATCTGAAGATCTGGGCGTAGAATCTCAGGCCTCCACTGCACTGATTCGCGAAGCTTGGGCCATATGTCCTACAGGCCAAAGCGACTGAAGACATCTGTTGATGAAGCAGCCAGAACATTCTGTTGCAGCAATAAATCATGGTTGATCATGGTTGATCATGGTTGATCTATATCCATGTCCGACTCTCCAACGCTTCAACGCATTGTCTAGTCTCATCAAACACTTGCGCTATGAGTGTCTGTCCTCGACGAGCTTCATGACTCTCAACAATTCTGAGCGGCCTTCACTTAGAATACTTAGAGTTAGAGATTGCGGTGTCCAGAGTCTAAATCAGTTCTCCTCTATCTTGGTAGTCTTTGTAGATCCCAAAACCGCGATGCTTCCCTCATCTCTACTTTCTCTACTTCTTGAATGTTCGTCGAAACTGCACTGCTCCCAAACGCCGCAAGCACCAATCTTGCATGTGGCAAGGCCGAAGCAGCAGAGTAGCTTACTTAGTATACTTTCTTCTATTTTCTTCTTGTGGTTCCATGGCTCCATGACTGTCCAGTACTGTCCAATTGCATTGTATAATGTTTTTATCATGACATGCAGATCATGGTGCTGGGTCCACACTGGCATTCGCCTGCCTGAAGCCTGTACCGAGCCAGATGATTTCAGATGTTTCAGTGAGAGGACAAGATAGGACCATCTCTGAAAGGCAGGCATGAAACAGATACACGAATGAGGCGTCAGTTCCTGTGGCTTGGTCAGTACCTACTCTGCTCCCACTCAATCCCATTCGGCTGGCTTTGATTCTGCACCACCCCAATCTAAACACTGTTTCTTTGTACTACCTGGGGCGTCCCGTATGGGAGACCGGCCAGGCAAAACATTGGCGCACTCGCAGCGTCTTGCTTGATTAGTCCTGTCTGATCAAAACAAACACTCGATCGTAAGTGATGACGCCTCGTGGTGCACATCAACTGTGAAACCTGAATCACGAAAGATCTCAGGAGGATCTCATACCTACTAAGGCTGCACCAGCAACTCCTACTCCTGTCAGCCTGAATTGTAGCTATTGTACACATGCGATCCCAATGAACATCAAACAAATGCAATACCTTGCTACAAACTGCTTTGCAGACAGTGTGATAGCAAATCAAAACAAATCAATGATTGCACTCCCATTTAGCATCAGAGTCTATGATGCGTTTTTTAGATCTGTTGTTCTTAAATAGTGGAACATGTCCTATCACTTGGTCTGGTCACATTGAATTTGACGGTGAATTCGATGCAGCTTGCTTCGCTTGCCCCCGTGAAGGGATTTCAGATGATGTCATGAGTCATGTGAAACAAATCCGACCAGGGAATCAAACGAAGGAAGCACCGTCCGTGAGACGCTACAAGGGCCGGTAGCTTGTCATGTGTCGGAGCTTCGCGTTGGGATCCCGGCGCTGCAGAGATGCAAAAGTGTAAAAAGTCAACCGAACGGTTGATTGTTGTTCGAAACATCCCAATATGCCATAATAATCCATAATAATATGGTTTGAATTATCGATCTTACTCTTGGAAATTCTTAGAGATCTTATAATGAGCATATCTTCCATGATATCTTCCATGACATTCCTATCTACCATGGATTCTGACATATTCGACTTGCTTCAGCAACAGGCAACTGGTTTCAAGCACCACATGTCCAGAAATCTCCAGAATCTGAGGCCATGCACCGGTCCCTTCTCCCGCAGAGTTGGATCCGTTGGCAAAGCACATAGCTGACCTGGCCACAAAGGGTGCAATGGGAGGAGCCGAGGCATCTTTGGCAGCTGGGCTACAAATAGCGAGACGAATGTGTTACCACGTTATAAACGTCAATTTCTCAACCATTTTTTGAAAAGTTGTAACCATTTTATAAAAACATTGCTTACCATTTTAAAAAAAATGAATTTATAATATTTTATATTTTAAGTTTTCCTGGCGTGAATCTACATTGATTTGTTTTGAAGGGCCCAAAGTAATGGAGTGGCATGTGAAGAGAAACTGAGATGCATCAATCTAATATCAAAACCAGATTCTCCGGCAAAATCTAATATCAAAACCAGATTCTCCGGCAAAATCTAATATCAAAACCAGATTCTCCGGCAAAATCTAATAAAGTCCTATCTCCGGCAAAATCTAATATCAAAACCAGATTGAAGGTTTGAGCCAAGATATTGTAAATGTCAACAGTATAAATATATATAACTATATATTCAAAAAGCTGTTGAGATTTACATATATAACGTGGTTCTACAACTAAGATATATAACGTAGTAATATAACCACAAGAAATAGTATACTATGTCTAAACGTGGTTACACCACCACCTGTACAAATAGCAGGGTGTGCTCTTGACCATTTGCTTCATTTCAATGGTGTCGTCCACCTTAGTCATAACATCGCGTTTGAGCTTTTCTGCGAGAGGAAAAAGAGAAAAAAAAGTGCAAAATCACCAAGTCAAGCGTAAAGTTTGGGGCTTCTAACATCTTCTAACGCCCTACATCTTTAGGGAAGTTGGCGTGTTCAGTCCAGCTGCAAATTATCATTGAGTTTCAAGTCCTGTGTCTCATTTCACCTCTTTGAACACAGGCAAAGCCAACTTGAGAAAAGCAAGTAGCATCAAGTGGCACTGCTTAGAAGCCAGACCCTAATCACTTGGCGCAAAGTAGGTATTGCATAGTTCGTTTCCTGCCGAAATGAGCACAATCAGGACATCAGTTATTGGATCTCCGGTGGACCTGAAATTAAGTGCAGTGTCCTCTTTTTGACGCGTGAGCGACTCGGCATTCATGAACTTCGAGAGCTGACAGCACAGTTCAGGTGTAGCAACCCGACAAACTCTCTGCAAAGGAAATGGATTGTCAATGTGCACAGTGTACAGCGACTCTTTTTCGCAGGCGTCAACCACTGATGTGCATGCGCTTTGGGCAGCAGAAGCAGCAGCAGTGGCACCTCTGCCAATGCAGAGATACAGTAGCTGGTCAAGGTAAGCAAGACCATGAAATCTTGAAACTTGAAATATTTGGAAAATAGAAACAGTCTTCAAGTCTTCAAGTGATAGGATATGGCATCATGATGAGGCGCGACTGCGCTGCCAAAAACATTCCTGGGTACTTTGCAACCAGGGTCTTGAGTCGTTTGCAAGGACAAAGGGAGAAAGGACCAAGAAGGCATGTGTGTTCCCTTGAAAAGTTGGTCACTTGGCATCCCTACAGAATTTGAATGAATTTGATTTAGAATTTAGAGCTTCGTCCCCTTTGTCCGTGCAATTGTGGACTCTAGCGCACTTCTGCGCAAGGTCCCCTTTTTCAAGACAGTCAATGAGACAGTAGAGATTATAAAGAGAATGGGAATGCGATCAAATAGCATTGGAACTTCGAAACCTTCTATTTGAAGGACAGCTAACGAAGAGCCCCCAGTGAATGTTCAACTCCGGTATTTTAGTGAGCGGTCTTGGACAGCTCTCAGCCAATCTCAAATACCTGACAGGTCTGCATCGTGATCAATGGATATACAGCGGGTTGTGATCAGGTTTCCGGATCGAAATTCTGTTTTTTTACATGCACTTCACAAAAAAAAAAACACTAATGCAGAATGATCAAAACAGCAAACGAATGTATTCATGAATGCCTTCACCTAGTATCACCTAGTATCACCTAGTACCCGTTTACCCCAACCGCTGGCAATGAAGATCAATGAAACACGGCGAACCTCATGCCCGGATGAGTGCACAAAGAGCACTCTGTCCAGACCGTGAGTCATTGTATCGCAGTAGGTCATGAAGTGCTTGACCTTGCAATCTGATGTCAACCAACAGCAGAGAACAAAGCGTAGAGTGGGTCAAACTAAAAATTGTGAAGGTGTAGTCGAGACAGTCCCTTGAATTCATGTAGATACTGTGCGCGTGATTCTACCGTCAGCGGCCCCACAATCAAAACAAACCGAATCAAACACAAATACCATGTGCTCCATCACTCGGCAATGCAACGGAGTACAGATGGCTAAAGCTTCTTTTAGAAACAAGAAACCACATCAATGCCAACAAAGGGATCCCAACCAAAGGTAACCCTTAGTTAAGCCCAAACCGGCATCACCCTGCACACACCGAACCCCTTTCTCTTTTGACTCGCAATGGATGGAACAACACCAGATTTCTACTCTGGCCCTTGCACATAACATCAGCTGTCCAGCTGACCAGCACTGCCCGTGCTTTCCCCCCCGGTAGAAAAAAGGTGCGGGTGGGTGGGGGAAATAACAGCAACACCTGTCAAAAACCAAGTGGTCCTAACCAATACAGTAGGTACCACAAAACAATCAGCAAAGCTGGACATAAATCAAAGCAAGCGCATGACCAACCATCATGCTCCCGGGGGTCCTAACAATCTTAAGACTAGAAACCCCGAACACAGAAGGGCCTAGACTATCGCATCACCCTATGTGGCCTGGGGTGCCACTCCACATAGACAAGTTGAGAACTGGTATAGATAGAAATTAAGGGAGAAAACATTACATCAAGCAACATATTAATAGCCAAAAGGAATGCATGCACAGACGGGCAAATAGAAGGATAGATTCATTGCTGTTGTGAATGGATCGGCGGATAGACAGAGAGACAAGTACAATCAAGTAGATTTACGATTGATATCAAATCCATGCCATGTGCGTACAGTATGCGAAATCAGTACATCTTGTCTCTGCGTATGCTCATGTATCTGTCTACGATAGAAATAGCATTGTAAGGTTATGTTATAGTATCATATTATATATATATACTATATATATATATACATATTATATTATATATATATAGTGTATATTAAAGATATACTGTATATTGTATATATATATATATATTGTATTATCTATTTATATATTAGTATCTGTGTGTATCTGATCGTTCACGTATGTGTATGCAAGTAGACCCCGGAACGCAGTTATGTATAAGTAACATCTAGGATATGCACTATGTACGGCATAAGTATGCTACATGAACGTAGCGCAACTACTATGATAACATGTAATTAATATGGTATGGACATGAAAGTAGGATCATGTAGCACGCACAAACCAGCAGCATGCATGATGCAGGCAGGTAGGTGTGTATGGGCACACTGGTATGCAATGATACGTAGGAAACGCTTTGCAAAAGCATGCACTGCACACAGCAAATGCACGACAGTCTGAGTAGGTGCAGGAGTGCAAAGAAAATCGAAGAAGCATGCAGGTAAATGACGAACGCATGTATGCACGCATGTTGATGCCTGGATATTGGCGTGGCAAGGCAAAGCATGTACATTTGCTCAGCAACGAGATATACCGACGCGCCCCTTGTCGCAAACAACAGTCATTTAATGTAATTTAGTCCACTATATAAAGTGATACTGCTGGCTGGCCTATGCGGGCTTATTGATACTTTTCACCAGCCTCATGACCTGGACCCACCTATCTCTAGTCATCTCTTGTCGCCGCACCTCACTCTCCTCTGTGCCCCAAATGTCCGGCATGTTCATGACCTGGTCTGCTGGAATCCGATCAAGCCCCCCCTCTCTCTCTCTATTTTCCATTGAGCAAAATAAATTTCCTTCAGCAGAACTAGCCTGATCTAGGAGTTCCAAGGGTCTTCTGGATCTGGGGTCTCCGGCAACGAGTTGAGATCTCTTGGAGCGTAGTAAAATCATTTCGTTGAGCTTTGCAAATGATGCAACCTTGCAGTTGGCGACTACGGCCCACACTTGTCAAGTCCTGTATCTTCTAGCTGACTCATCCTGACTCAGTTCGACTTGGTTCTTGTCTTGCGTGCTGATATAGTCCTTTGATTTCGCTCTAGTTTTAGAAATCTGGAAAACATTATGCAAAAAACACAATGTGCGAAAATGTTGAACTCTCGCTCTTTCATTGCTGCGATTGCCCTCCTTCATCTTCCTCCATCTTTCATTAAGTTCTGCACCCTCTCCCACTCGCTCTGTGATGCCAGGGCCCTCAGCCAGGCACTGAGTTTTCAGCCAGAGCGCAACGTGGAGCTGCGACTGTCTTCCCCCGAGCGCCCAACGGCCGTTCCTTGCAATCCTTCAACGTCTTGGTGGCCTGTGCGGATGCATCCGATGAATCCAATGCATCCGATGCATCCAATGCATCCGATGCATCCAATGAATCCAATGAATCCAATTGTTCTGAGTCACTGCTGAATGCATCTATGAAATTCTATGAAGATTTATGAGGTTTGAAATAGTATGAAATTTTTGAAATATGTGAAAAAACCGAAATACCATGAAAACCCAATGCCTCATTGATGACTCTCGGACACGCCTCTAAATATGCCTCTATGCACACCTTCTACGTACACATATTTAGTATATTTAGATATATTTAGGAGATGGAAGAAAGCCTTTATTGCCAAATGTAAAACTGTACAAGCCCAAGCTTCCCCTGTTGAACTTGGAGCAATTACCTTTGCAGCCCATGGATGTATGACGGCCCGCCTCCATCTTTTGGCCAGTGATGTGATCTGTCAGGTCATCTGACGCCTTCCTCAAACCACTGACATGATCTGCCAGGTCATCTGAACCCTTCCTCAAATCGCAAACGGCAACTTGTCCAGCAGCTCCTTCCTTTGCTGACACCACCGCTTTGCCAGTCCAATCACGCGGAGATGTGGAGCCATTGGACGCTTTCTCTTCCTCCATCTTGAAGAGGTCGTCGATCTCAAGCGGAATCGCGTCAGCATTCACAGCCTGGGCACCATGCAGCTGCTGGACGAATTTGTGTCGCTGGTCCAATCGCAGGGACCAGTCGTAGGTGTAGGGCTGTATCATTTCATCATCCACAATCACCACCTCCACATCGACATCAAACAAACGTCGATTCCGAAGTGTTTCTGCTAGCAACTTTGCGGCATTCTTGGCACGTTCCTCTGACACTCCTTCTGTGATTGTGAAGATTCGAATTTGGCAATTCCTCCACATCCGGTGCTGCACTAGCAACCAAGACAGGAGGATCATAAAACCTCCATCATGAATCATCCACCATACATCTATTGTCCCAACCACTTTGTCAATCGGCATATCCTGAAGCCCTTTCACTGCCAAGAAAGACTTCTCCGAAGCAAGGGCAGTTGTCACCACATTCAAAAACTCCGTTGCCTTTTTGCTGTGGGTCTTCCACTTGGCTGGCCAATTCACCAAGATCGTGTTGGGCGCCAAACCTCCGATGCCACTCAACTGAATGATGTAGTTCACTCCCTCAGACCAACTGGGCGCTACCACACATTCTGCAAAGCCACGGATGTTTTCCTCTTTCATAATGCTCTTGATGACGTCCTTCTCAATACTGGCTTTGTGCATTGCATGTTCATCCCTGCTGTCAGACTCCAGGACGCAAGCAACTACTGCGAAACCATTGCCTTTTCGGAGGTAGGAGTAGAAGCGTAAAATGTCACGGTGCTTGATTCCTTTCAACTCCTCCGAGAGATGGATCCTGTACAACACGAGGACTTGTGGACGCCAGTTTACTGCATGATGCCCACTCTCTTCAAGTTGGATCAGGGAGTTCAAAGCCAACTGATAGCGAATGCCATCCAAAGCACTGCCCCACTCAGCTTGCTCCAATCTCCAATTGATGTACAGGTACAAACTGAAGCTGCTCAGAAGCACAACTATGGCCCAAAGTTGGCTCACGATGATCATGATGGACAAGCAAACACACGATCCCAGAAGACCAGTGCACATGTACCAGAATCTCCAGCGCCTTCGAGACATGCCTGTGACAGCATTCACATTCTCAAGTGCGGCATTTTTCTCAAGTGCGGTATTGCAAGGGACGTGCGCAAACTCTATTTGTTCTTTGCTTGAGGAATTCACTGCCTTAAACAGTAAAAGAAACATCAACAAATCAGGTGCTGAGTATTGCTTAAGACTTCCCAACTTGGAGATATCCCTGCCTGCTGGTCGAAATCCAGGTGATCTCACATAGGTCAAAACAAAGCAGGAGAAGTTCATAAAGGTATAGGCCACCAAGAAGCACATCGTTAAGAGGGGCGCAACAGCATTGACCTCACCTATGAGTACAAGCGCGGCCCCAAATACATAGGTACAAGCAAGGGCTCTCACTGGTTCTCCATGCTTGGACAATGGTGCGATTCGATCGAACACAGTGAGGATTTTGTCCTCAAATGGTGACGACATTGAGATGTGAGTACCGGTTCCCTAATCGTCACTTCAATATCTTGAATAGAAATTGGCAAACCAACAGTGAAGATAGTCAAGGCCTGTGGCAAATGAGGCCCTGGCGCGTGCAATGTTTTGAAGTAACCGAGGTGCCACAATGAGGCACTGCAGAGCCTTCCAAAAGCTCGTCATAGCTGAACGCGTCTGTATGTCGAAAGAAATCACTAAGACAACTATGCAAGTGGCGTTGAGCCGTCCGACTGTTGGACTCGCTTCCAAACCAACATTGAGTTGCCATTCAAAAGAACTGGCCTGGCTCAGAGAAGAGATGATGATGCCAATGTGGGCAGAGTTTGGAAATGGATTCCAGACAATCTCCTGACAGTGCAGACGCTTGAGGTTCTTCATGAGGAATGTAAACCAGCACCATTAAAAAAAAAAACGCTTGATGGTTGTGTTCACCTCCGTGGGTTGTGAATCGTCCGAACCATTCCCTGCCACAGGAAAACCATGAAAAACCATGAAAAACCAAGTCAAGGTCAAGAACTGTTCTGAGCTCTGACATGTGAAACCTTGATATCTTTGACCCTGAGGCCCTGAACAGCTTTCAGATTTCAGGACACTGGCGCTGCCTGTGCTCGTCCCAGTCCCATCCCGGTCTCCTCCACCAAGTGCTCACCCGCACCACCAGCAAGTCGACGGTGATGATCATCTCCATCAGCATGATATTCCTGGGCCACCGATGGCACCCCGCACCAGCGTCTTACTTTAAGGAGATCAAGAAATCACGAGGAATATTAAATGATTAATTATTGAACTTATTAATATCAAGATATATTTCAAGAAGTTGTTCAAGAAATCCAACGGTCCTTGCCCTGCAGGTAGCGGTAGTCTGCAACACAGCCCCAGAGGAGAAAGAAGGACCTGAGAACGGTTGCTAATGCGATCCCCGCTGCAAAATCGTTTCAGGTATGCAACTTCTGACTACCCCAACAGTTCGCCAGTTTCGATGAAAATGTCTTGGGAGAGGCGAACTTGCAACCCTGCCATTTCACGTTTGCCAGCTTTGCTGTGAGACTTAGGGTGCGACGAGTACATGAAAAAACTGAAGATGATTGCTCCAAATGTACCATCCTACAAAGCTCAACAGCACAGCACTTGACATCTAGCGATGTAGTCGTGACGCAACTGACCCGCTATTCACATGTGTTCACATCCCCAATTGGTTGGAGAATGACAAATACTGAAAGATGCGGAACCCATGAAAAACGGTTCAAAACACAGTCAAAAGGCACCGTGAAAATCCATGAAGCAACTGTGTTTGCCAGTTTTTTTTTCTTCGTAAATATGTATATATATATACCAGAGCCCTCAAAGTGGTTCTAATTAAGTTCATAAATTTGGATCCCCTAAGTGACGCTAATTGGAGGGTACTTAGCAATACTTGTCAATGATGGCAAAAAAAAACACATCATAATCATCCCGCCGGACCGGAAACCGTTCCCATAAAACGCACATTGTTTTAAAAAAATGGTGATTTTACCACAGTGCCGTGCTAATTTGATGACTGGAAATGCTGGAAAAACTTGGGGCGCGTTTTTTCGTTTTTCAGCGTCATCGCTGCAACGCATGCGTAGTAAACAGCTGGCAGTCAGCATTCTTGCGAATGCATCTCCATTGCCAAGCTCTCAGAGATCTCAGAGATCTCAGCAGCGTAGCAACATGTAAGGTAGTAAACGATCCCAGAGATCTCAGCAGCGTAGCAACATGTATGTAACGTAGTAAACGATACCAGAGATCTCAGCAGCGTAGCAACATGTATGTAACGTAGTACACGATCCCAGAGATCTCAGCAGCGTAGCAACATGTATGTAAAGTAGTCAACGATCCCAGAGATCTCAGCAGCGTAGCAACATGTAACGTAGTAAATAATCCCAGAGATCTTAGCAGCATGGCAATATATCATGTACGAAGTACAAGGAACGTTAACATGCCCCCCCCACCCCACCCCACCCCACCCCACCCCACAATCGCGATATTCAAAAACGTGCGTTTTACGGGAACGGTTTTTCGGTCCGCAGGCATAATCATATAGGATAGCATAGGGTTCATCACATCAAGCAATCAAACCATATCCCTTGAGGGTACCGCCCCAGTCTCACCCCAATATACCCTGGGATGATCAGTTGTGTTTGCTCGTTTTTTTTGCAAAATTCACATCAGATGGTCAAAATCGACACGTTTTGACACGCAGTAACACCCCAGAAGCTCCAATGACACGTTTCTAAGTACCCATAATTGGTGGGCACTTCCCATGACACCTTTTCTAAGTACCCACCAATAGGCATCACCTTAGGGGGGTCACCGACACGGAAATGACACGCGATGGCACGCAACAAGTGCCTACATTTTCCGTTTGTGTAGGTGGTGCTTTACAATTCAGATTCAGGGTCTGGTGGTTTCTAAGATTGCGATGTGTGTGTTCCCAATCTCGGTATACCCTGGCAGCAGGGAAACGGATGACATCCTGTGTGGGGATTTCATAATCCCAGCCCATCAATGAGCAAAAGAAAAAGTGACGCTAGTTGGTGACCTATGCTAACAGGCCACTAATGGTGGGTACTTAGAGGGTGCTGGTATACACACATATAATTATATACATACATACAGTGATATACATACATAGAATGATGTGTATATATATATATATGATGGTGTGTATTATATATATATGTGTGTGATGGTGTATGTATATATATATATATACGCATATGGGTTTTGATCAAAATTCCTTTATCCGGGAACGGCCATTCTTCGCGAATAAAAATGTTACTTTCGCGAAACTTTCGCGAACTCCATGTTTATCTTTCGCGGGGCCCATGTTGGCCAACAACACCTCTTATGAAGATTCGTTCACCACCTGCCAAATTACGCCAGAGAATCGGGGATCACTTTTTGCTAGCCTTTTAAACATGCAGCTAGCACCCTTCTCAGGGCAGATTGTTGCTGACTATGTTTTTTTGGCAAGGTTTACTGGCCCACCCCCTTCAACATGCACTTTGACTTTCGCCCGCTCTTTCGCATAACTTTCGCGGAACTTTCGCGAAAATATCCCTATTCACAGACCCCGGCCATCAGCAGAGGGTGCATTGAAGGAAAAGCGAACACCAGCACCCTTGATTTTTGGCTCTCGCAAAGCCTCACTTTTGGAAACTTGGCTACTGCATTTGGAGCTTGTTTCTTGGGACTTCAACAAGCATCATTAGGCAGTGGCAGCGGCAGGTGCAAGGATGTGCTTCAGGACCATGGCGTTTGGCTGTCGCGAAGCCTCGCCTTTGGAAGCTCGGCTGCTACCTATGAAGGGTGTGATTGTCCACAAGCACCACCACACAGGGACCTGAACCAGAAACAAACCGAAATTCTCTAGTGCCCTTCTCCTGCCGGACCCCGGGCGGCAGTGGGTGGCAGCCCTTTACACAATGATTATGATATCCAACTTTCGCGAAACTTTCGCGAAAAAAAATGTTACCTTCGCGAACTCGAAAAAAAACTTTCGCGAGGGTTTCCAACATAACACGCACGGCTTTCGCAATTAAAACTCCTTACAAGGACCTTTAGATCGATCACCATATATCATTGATATGATACATTTTAATGATATATAATGTATGGTCCCTTTCCGGACATTCAGAACGAACGGGATTTTGAGGTCCTTGATGTTTCGTGGGGGATCTTTGAGGATGTCTGCTCGATTTGCACCGCTGAGGATACCGGTAAAGCATGGGAAGAAAACGCTCAGAACCACCTCAGTTGCAAGACGGCTAAGGTCAAAGGAGAGATCAAGCTAGCAACAATCATTGCTTTGTCCAAGCCACTCCGAAGTTGGTGTGTTCATCGTAGTGGGGACCCCAATTCTTCTTGAAAGTCTCCCAACCTGCAAAGGCACATTGCAGAATGAAAAGCCGTTTGACAAGGGCAAGCAATGCTTAACCACAACCCAAAGATTCCAGAAATGGAAGTAAATCAACAAGAATCAACATGCATCAAAGTTAAGGTCCAAACTGATACCTGTCACCCATGGATTTGCCATCGCTGCCTCCTGCGAAACGGCACGGCAGTGAAATATTGAAAAACTTGTTCAACATCTTGAAAGAGCTGCTGAGATGCATCTGCCGTTCCACTATAGCAGAACCAAGGGCATCCAAGGGTTTCCAAGGGCCAACAGTGGCAAGCATGGCATTGCTATACATGGTTTGTGAAGGCACAGCTGTTGGGGCCATGGCAGTGAGTGGAGCTGTGGCAATACCAGCATAGTAAGATGCCATGGTATAGAAAACCTTGGACAGTCAGTGAGTCAGGGGATGCCAACAAGTCAAAGGTTTGAAGCTGGCTTGTAGATTAATGTATAGAGTTGCAGGCACTTCCTAAACAACTTGTAGACAGCTACTTGTCGCATAAGCAGGGCATGAGAAGGGGGAGCAAAAGCAACACCTATCGCTTGTTGAAAGAACGTTGAAGGCCTGCTGCACATTTTCTCCTTTCCGCTTTGCCTCTTTGGGCCGTTTCTGTCGGTATTGGTGATTCCAACCCATCTCAATGTTTTGCTGGTTGGATGGGCCGTGCATCCCAAAAGGGATGGATCCTGCATCATTAGTTGAAACTGCCAACCAGATCAACCAGTTCAAAAACATCAAATGTAACATGATCCTATACTGCCAACGGGATGTCACCTTCTTGCAAAACTCAATGAGGTTGCGTTTAACCACATGCAAATATTAAAGGCCGTGAATGCCCCCGAGGACCAAATTGGGAGCATCTAGTGCTAGCTCAACATTTGCGTCGCGGAAGCTGGACACAATCAAAATATCAAAATATTCAAAATGACCTTTTGTTTTTCGACCAGGTCTTGACGAAAGCAAATGATTGCGAATAACTCTCTTCTGCGAAAATTCGAAGAACGCCAAATCCAGTGTACATGGGTGTGTCTGAAAATGGTGTATATCTCCAATAATGGCATTTTATTGGGGAAAATTATGATAAACCATAGGATTTTGGGGGGGTATCCTATTTTCAGACAAACCATGACAAACCCACATGGTTATCGATTGGGTTCCTGACAATCAGCACGAAGCCAATGCCAAGTCTGGTGACGAAGGAGGTGCCTCCCCATACCTTGAGACATGCACAGATAGAATGACGATCAACTTCCTGGCGCTTATTCGGGAATGGGGGGAACTGGGATGATTGTTAATAGTAATTGTGATCATTCCCTATTCCCTACTAAGCACCAGGAAGTCAAAGGATAAGCCACTGAGACTGGATTTGGGTAGTTTAGGACAAACTCATATACCATCATACACCATCCAATGCTGGTGGGTTCACTAAGGTTTGGGCCGACAGAACCAGCATGATCATGAAGCCAGATCCAAAGGCCTTCCCACTGGCATCACTGACTCTTGGTGGAATCTTGGCAGAAGTTCCAGTTCAATTTACCAGTAGTTGAATCTGTTGAATCCGGTTGAATCTAGCGGAAACCCGCCTGCTTGCAACCTGGAAAGTTCAACGATGGAGCTGCCATCAGTAGTGCTTCCACCTTGAAGGTGGAGGAACGCTTACAAGTCTTCAGAAAGTGGGCATCAACTTGAAACGAATTAAATAAAATATATAAAATGTATTAAATGTACCACTCAATCAATCGAATGCCTGTTTTTGCATCCGTTTACCATGAACGGTTCAACGATGGCAGCACTTTGCAAAAGCTCAGCAGCCAACAGCGCCAAGAGTTTCCAGAACTGCCAGCAAAGTGATCGCCAACCAGTACATGATGCCGACCTCAGCCGCCCCAAAGCCATAGAAAAACAGCCGACACTGGCCGCTTCAAAATCGAGTCACTGGCCGATGCTCCAACTGATGGACCCAAGGCGCGGGAAATCATGTAGTACGGCCTCGACGGGAACAGGGCTTCACTAATAGAGAGATTAAGCAGGGCAGCATGATATCTTATCGTGCCATCCACAAGTTAAATGGACTAACAGCACCCAGTCCTAATTAATACCAGTCTACTCAGGATATAATCCCATCATTAAAGCGCAGGATTGGCACATCACAGCAGTTTGCAAGGCATGTTGATGCTGCGACTCTTCCATCACTTTTTAATCACTTGAGAGCTTGCTGAGTGATAGACCCTCCTTTGCTGACAAGGCCTCCGGATGAGACAATTGCAGACATTGAAGATGTCCTTAGTCAAGCTCGAGAACGATGCATGGGCTGGCTCAGACCCAACTTCAGACCCAAGGTCACCAGATCGGTGATACTCAAAGGAAACAAGATGAAACAAGCATAGAAAAGCAGATCTATGCAGATCTTGAAATGTGTTTGAAATGGCTTGTTTTCGTCTGGGCAACCAAGCGTGCAAAAAGCTGCCGTGAAGGAGATGAGGACACAAAGCAAGGCATGCATAATGCCGGCCTGTCTGTCAGTGCACTTGTTTGTCGACTGCAGGTGACAGCTTCAGTTGCCCACGGGCCCACGGAGACTGGTGCCGGTCTGAACTAGCAGATTCTCTATCTCTGAAGATGAACTTCTGAACTTCAGTTCCTACTTGCACTTCTCTGTCGACAGGCGAAAGGTAGCAGAATAGAATGTTCAAATCTGTTCCGATTTCCCTGATCATGACGAATGAAGGCCTAGGAACTTCAAACAGCACAAGTTCATGTGTTTCTCGAATAACTTCTTAGACATCTGAGAACACTATGACCACACCAATACACTGCGATGCGGAACAGAAAAGTGTTTGGTTGGGGCCTGACCAACCACGAAGTAAAAACGCAGAAAGATCAGCACACCCCACATGTTTTCACATGTTGGCACCTTGACGCTGGCTGTCTGTGCTGTGTACATGGACTGTCTGACAGTCAAGATGATTAAAGTGTTTCGAAACGCAGAAAGCAACAACAAGGATCGGGCGAAGACACCTGCAAAAGCCCCCTTCTTATGCCTGAGCTGGTCAAGGGAAAATAAAACTGAAAACTCCAAACAGCCTGGACTCTACTAGATGTGATACATATGTGATACATGATTTATTCTACATTGAAAACAAAACAACGACTGAGACGCCCTGGCGACTTGTGGTTTTCTTTTTTCGCTTGACCTCCCAGGACCTGGGCGCCCACAGGATAAGGGGTCAGTATCCAACAACCATCCCAAAATTGCAATGGTATAACTATATCAGACTAAATCCATCTATATCCTGTCCTATATAAATGGATGGGATTGAAACGTCCAAAATTGGAAGTTGAGCAAATTGGGTTGACCATAGTTGCCATGAAAATTGGAAAACTAATGATAATCCATGATGAGGATATTTGTTCCTTTTGAGTTGTTTTTTTGGAGAAAGTCTGAGGACTAAGCACTTTCAACCAAAAGGCTGCGTTTGCTCTTTGGAGTCTCATCATCACCTGGTGAGCACCGTCCCAAGATGTCCCAAGTATCGAATGTTCAGACTAGGTCTGGGAAGACCCGTTGAAAACCCAAAGGAAAATTTCACTGGTGAATGTTGTGAATAGCTGAAAGCAGTGTGTCCGAGATGAATCGATATGATCCTCGCGGTGAAGAGCTGCTGACATAGAACATAACAGCATTTGGGCGCACTCGTTGGATTTGCAACCACCTTTTTCTTGGCATTCTGCCTGAGTTTGTCTTCAGCTCAGGGATGAACGAACGTGTCACCAAGCGCGCAGATACAATAATAGCCTGCTAAAAAAATATCACATCGATGTCCTTTCTTGCGACTCAAAAGACCGACAAAAGAATCCAAGAAAGAGCTGGTAGTCGCCAGTCACTCGTTATCGACGTTGTCGTCGTCCTCCTCGTCCTCCTCGCCGTCATCGTCGACGTCATCGTCGACGTCATCATCATCATCATCATCATCATCATCATCATCACCATCATCATCATCGTCATCGTCATCGTCATCGTCATCTCCTCCTCCTCATCATCATCAGCAGCAGCAGCATCAGCATCAGAAAAATAATAATAATCATCATCATCATCATGATCATCATCATTTCCTTCTTCATCATCATCATGATCATCACCACCATCATCAATCATAATCACCCATCATCCATCATCATCACCATCATCATCATCATCATCTATCAGCATCGTCCACCTCCTCATCATCAGAATCGGCATCATCATCATCATCATCATCATCATCATTGTCATCGTCATCGTCATCTCCCCCTCATCATCATCATCATCATCATCATCATCTGCAGCAGCAGCAGCAGCAGCATCAGCAACATCAGCAACATCATCATCATCGTCATCATCATCATCCTTATCCATCATAATCACCCATCATCATCATCATCATCATCATCGTCGTCATCATCATCATCATCATCATCAATCATCAATCATCGCTCTCCTCCTACTCATCATCATCATCATCATCATCATCAACAACATCAGCATCATCATCACCATCGTCATCATCAGCATATTCATCATCATCATCATCATCTGCATCATAATCATCCATCATCATCTTCTTCATCATCATCATCGTCATCTCCTCCTCCTCCCCCTCCTCATCATCATCATCAGAAGCAGCAGCACCAGCATCAGCATCAGCAAAATCATGATCATCATCATCTTCATCATCATCATCGTCATCATCATCATCATCCATCATAATCATTCACCATCATCATCATCAACCATCATCATCAATCAATCAATCAATCAATCAATCAGTCAGCCAATCAATCAAATCAAAGCAAGTCAAAGCAAAACAATTCAAATCAAATCATATCAAATCAAACCAATCAATCAATCACTCAATCAATCAATAATCATCGTCCTCCTCCTCCTCATCATCATCATCGTCATCCTCATCTCCTCATCATCATCATCACCACCAGCATCATCATCATCATCATCACCATCCTCATCATCCTCATCATCACCATCACCATCCTCATTATCATCATCATCATCATCATCGTCACCAACATCGTCATCGTCATCTCCTCCTCATCACCATCATCATCAGCAGCAGCAGCAGCCGCATCAGCATCCGCATAATGATCATCATCTTCTTATGTTTCTTCTTCTTCATCATCATCATCATCAATCATCATGGTCCGCCTCATCATCATCATCATCTTCATCATCATCGTCGTCATCGGCTTCGTCATCTCCTCCTCATCATCATCATCATCATCACCATCATCATCATCATAATTATGTTCTTCTTCATCATCATGATCATCACCATCATCATCAATCATAATCATCCATCATCCATCATCATTATCATCATCATCATCATCATCATCAATCATCACCGTCCTCCTCATCATCATCACCATCAGCAGCATCATCATCATCATGATCATGATCATCATCATCACCATCCATCATCATCATTGTCATCGCCGTCATCATCATCATCATCATCATCACCATCATCATCATCATCACCATCACCACCATCATCATCATCATCATCAATCATCAATCATCATCGCCCTCCTCATCATCATCAACCTCATCCTCATCCTCACCATCATCATCATCATCATCATCATCATCGTCATCGTCATCGTCATCGTCATCGCCACCATCACCATCATCATCATCATCATCATCATCACCATGCATGCATGTGTTATCAGTCATCATGCATCATTCATTGTTCTTCGTGTGTCATTCATCATTCATCATTCATCATTTTAAATATTTTAAAAACACATGTTCTTCGGATTTCTTCGGAAACGTTCGGTAACTAAACCATCTTCTTCGGGAACCAAAACGTTTACTTCGAAAATCAAAGCATCACCATCACCATCATCATCCTGAGAATCATCCTCGGCATCGTTATCGCTCTTTCATCATCGCTCCCATTGTCTGGGACCGACACGTGAGCTCTTTTGCTTGCCGAGCCAACTCCCCAGAGTCAATCCTTTCGACCTTGGAGATGAGGCATACGCCGGTGACTCTCAACTCCATTCACTTGACCGAGGTCAAGACGAAGGCTGATTCCTGAATACCTGACTCCAAGCCTCAAGGCTCAAAGGTGCTCATGAACAAAAATGAAAACGACAAATCACGCTGTGAACACCAAAGGGCTCTGGAGATCTGGCGGCAGCTGATCATGCTGAGTCAAAAGTCTGTCCACTTTCACAAAGATGAAAGGAACAAACATCTGCATGCCACCTAGTGTAGCGAGGGGGAGCAGCCATCTGACGCAATGATCTTTTGCTGAGGAGCCCACTAAACTGCCGGCTCCAACCCTGCTTCTCCATAGTCGCTGCGATACCGGAATGGTCAACGACTACCTGTGTGTCAGGCCTCAGAAGGCAACGCTACAGCAAGTTTGCAACTTTTCGTCTAGCCGTATTTAGAGGGCGATTCTCAGCGCATGATGCAGCAGCTGCGAGCAGAAAAGTAGTAAGCATGTGACAAAGCAGATGTTCCTTCCACTGGAATGGTAGACTCATGTTCAGGTTCCATCAGGAGCACCTGTGCAGAAGGATTTCTGGCAGAAGGGGCCTTTTACAGGGCTTATGCAGCATTTACATCCTTGACACAAAGTAAGAAAGTTCGCACGGCTATCCCAAAATTGCGCGGAGTTCTCCTAGCAATGTGGGTGAAAACAGGAAAGGGGGGGTGCCCAGTCATAGTGTCCAACACTCTGCTCCCTGTCAAGTCTGGATAGCCATGGACAAACGTTGACAACCTTCTGAGCTCATTCGCAGGGTTACTGATCCACAGTAAATTTGGTATAAAAAGGCTTGGAGTTCCCTTCAAGAACAAAGAAATGAATGCACAACCAAATCTAAGGTCAGCACAAGTGGGTGATTGCAACAGCTCTACTGTCGCAGCACTAGACACAAGGAGATAGCCTCAAGCAAACTACCTTCTCTATCTTGAGCCACCTGAAATCTCAAAAGCACACTCTTGGTGTTGTGTCCTTCTTTCGTGTTGCTATGTTTATGTATTTGCTTATCCCATGGGGTTCCGGCCCTTTCAGTGATGATCTGTGTCTGTATGGCGAATGCAATTCAAGGATACGGTCCAAGTATGCCCACGCCTCATTGGCATGCTGGCCCACAAACGCTCCTTCACCATGAGCCTTCCTGGTTGCAAGCATCCCACGACATCATGCAACATATATATATGAACATATATATATGTGTGTGTGTATGTATGTATGCATGTAGGTAGGTATGTATGTGTGCACAGTACGTAGGTAGCTAGGTATGTATGTATTGTATGTACTGTATGTGTTGTATGTATGCTATGTATTGTATGGAGGGTATGTATTGTATGTATTGCATGTATTGCATGTATGTTATGTATTGTATGTATTGTATGTATTGTATGCATTCCATGTATTGCATGTATTGCATGTATTGCATGTATTATATGTATGTTTTGTATTGTACGTATGTATGTATGTATTGTATGTATTGCACGTATGTTATGTTATGGATTGTATGTATGTATGTATGTATGTATGCATGCATGCATGTATGTTGTGGTATGGTATGGTATGGTATGGTATGGCATTGTATTGTATTGTATGTATTGTATGCATTGCACATGTGTTGTATGTATTGTATGTGTTGTATGTATTGCACGTATTTCACGTATGCTATGTATTGCAAGTATTGTATGTATTGTATGTGTTGTATCTATTGTATGAATTGTATGCATTGTATGTATTGCATGTATTGCATGCATTGTATGTATGTTATGTATTGTATGTATTGTATGTATTGCATGCATTGTATGTATGTTATGTATGTTATGTATTGTATGCAATGTACGTAATGTATGTTATGTATGTTATGTATGTTATGTATGTTACTGCATGCAACGTGTATGTACTGAATGTACTGTATGTAATGTATGCAATGTATGTAATGTATGTAATGTATGTAATGTATGTAATGTACGTAGAATGCATGCAATGTATGTAATGTATATAGTGTATACAATATATATATAATGTATGTAAAACATGTCATGTATGTAATGTATGTAAAAGATGTAATGTTTGCAATGTAATGTAATGTAATGTATTGTAATGAAATGTAATGTACTGTATTGTAATGTAATGTAATCTATGTAACTTAATCTATGTAATGAAATCTATGCAATGTAATCAGTGTGATGTAATCTATGTAATGTCATGAAATGTAATGTAATGGTTGAAAGGGAATCCATGTAAAGTAATCTATGCAATGTAACCTATGTAATGTAAACTATGTTATGTAATGTAAATGCAAATGTAAATGTAAATGTAATGGTAATGGTAATGGTAAGGTAAGGTAATGTAATGTACTGTCTGTATCTATCCATCTATCCATCTATCCATCTATCCATCCATCCATCCATACACTCTGTCTATCTTTGTATGTATGTCTGTATCTCTGTGTGTGAGTATGTCCGTATGTCCGTATGTCCGTATGTCTGTGTGTCTGTCTATCTGTCTGTCTGTCTGTATGTATGTCTGTCTGCCTGTCGGTATGCATGCATGCATGCATGCATGCATGCATGCATGTATATATATTACATTACATTACATCACATTACAATACAATTGCGTTACATTGCATTGCATTACATTGCATTCCATTCCGTTCCATTGCATTGCATTGCAGTACAGTACATGCAAAAATCTCTATAAATGCATACATCACCAGGGACACTCCATGGTGCATGGCGTTGAAACCACCCCGAGGTGCCCACTTTTTGAAGAAGCCCCCTGAGGTGGTACTCCTAGGACTGGTTTTCTGACGGCTGCATGAAGTTGAATGGTGAAGATGAATGTTCCCGTGATTCCGTCAGTTGTTTCTACATGTTCCTATCACTTTATATCTACGAGATTCTACGAGTATATCTCCTGCAAATGTATGGTTCTTGCAGTAAGTCCAAGTGCGGCCCTGAGAGCGTGGCATTGCTGTAGCTGCGGGAGTCCCTGCAAGGAACAAATCCCTGCTCGACCTGCTGCTTTCCACGAGATGCTGGAACAGCATCTGCAGACATTGATGCTGCCGTCCCTTCACTTGGGAGGGCTTTGATGTATACATATCATATATATTTATTTAAATATGTATATATTTATTTATAAATATATATAATATATATATATCTAACGTACCGTATTATATATGTATTTGCTCAGGTCCAAGAATTGTCCCTGCGAAAACATCCCGTCGGGGGAAAACCGCGCCAGCGTCTTGAACGTTTTGAAAAAATGTCGTTTTCGCCAAAGCGAAACTACTGATTCATTCCCCAAAATAGGCTTAAAATTCCCCGGGGAATTGAAATGCTTTTTTGATGATGTCCTGTAATTTACAGGGAAATTGTTCTTGAAAAGGTGCGCCATGTTTTTCCCTCTCACATCGCCATGCGCTTCTTCAAGGAGTGACCAGTGACCTCCAAAAGGCTTTTGGTTTTGGAGTTCATCCAACGCCATTGCCACACCCTGATGCTTCGCATCAATTTTAGGTTCACATGGCGGTTGGTTCTGGTCGGGAGACTACATGCTATGGCCGACTTTGACAGTCGCCACATCACATCGACCCCACCTGTGTGAATCAGAACATGTTTTTTCTAATTCGTTTCTTTATACAAAACAACCCTTTAGAGCGGTTGCAAGCTTCATGGCGCCAACCAAAGTTGTGACTTAAATCTTAAAGATGGATTGCATGGTGCCCCATCGGTGATCGACATGTTTTTGGCCAGGGGACGGGGACTGCCACAAGATGTTGCAGGAACCCTTGAGGCTAAATGAAGACGAGACATACAACAAAATAAAGAACCATTGACAACATGAAGCTCAGGGTCGACAGTTTTATACGTATATGTATCCACATCTATTTGAAATAAATATCAACATCTGTTTTATATATGTATCTACTTCTGTGCACATCCTACATTTATGATGCCAGCAAGGGGAAACCCAAGACATGACGCTAACACCCCCCCAACCCAGTGACGTGACGTAGCATGAGCATGTGACGCGAGTTAACATGAACGTTAAACACCCCCCCAACCCAGTGACGTGACGTAGCATGTGCATGTGACGCAAGTTAACATGAACGTTAAACACCCTCCCCAACCCAGTGACGTGACGTAGCATGTGCATGTGACGCAAGTTAACATGAACGTTAACACCCCCAAACCCAGTGACGTGACGTAGCACGTGCATGTGACGCGAGTTAACATGAACGTTAACACCCCCCAACCCAGTGACGTGACGTAGCATGTGCATGTGACGCGAGTTAACATGAACGTTAACACCCCCCCAACCCAGTGACGTGACGTAGCATGTGCATGTGACGCAAGTTAACATGAACGTTAACACCCCCCCAAACCCAGTGACGTGACGTAGCATGTGCATGTGACGCAAGTTAACATGAACGTTAACACCCCCCAACCCAGTGACGTGACGTAGCACGTGCATGTGACGCGAGTTAACATGAACGTTAACACCCCCCAACCCAGTGACGTGACGTAGCATGTGCATGTGACGCGAGTTAACATGAACGTTAACACCCCCCCAACCCAGTGACGTGACGTAGCATGTGCATGTGACGCAAGTTAACATGAACGTTAACACCCCCAAACCCAGTGACGTGACGTAGCACGTGCATGTGACGCAAGTTAACATGAACGTTAACACCCCCCAACCCAGTGACATGACGTAGCATGTGCATGTGACGCGAGTTAACATGAACGTTAACACCCCCCCAACCCAGTGACGTGACGTAGCATGTGCATGTGGCGCAAGTTAACATGAACGTTAACACCCCCCACAACCCAGTGACGTGACGTAGCATGTGCATGTGACGCGAGTTAACATGAACGCTAACACCTCCCCCCAACCCGGTCAAAAATGTGTGTTTTCAAAAACGTGCACGACTACTGGCGCGGCTTCCCCCCCCCGCTGGCAAAAACATGCAAATGCGTTGATCGCCTATTGCTTTGTTGTGTTGATCAGAGGGATGGTGTGCAGAAATTAGAGTCAAAACAAAAAGAACAGGTGAAGAAAAGGTGCACCCTGCCTGATAGTCTCATCTAGTCTGTGACTTCCTTCTTTCTGTCGAGTCTTCACCTTCGACCGACATGACATAGTCAGCACAGTAATCAAACATGGCAATTAATGAAAACTCCCGATTAATTCCTCAATGATTTTCCAAGTAAAACCTCCATTTCTGAGGGATTTCCCAGCCATGTGATGACACGGGAGGGTAACTTTGATGGCGCTGAGTTTGAGGACTGCCGCCATCTTTCTTCTGATGTGGTGCTCCCCCAAGTCCAATGCTTCCTCGCCCTGAGGGGCCAATGCACTGCCCAAAACAAGGTCGGGTAAGTGGGTATACCTGGTATACCTCCTTGATATAGCCGTTTTAAATCATTACATAAATATATATATATCATATTATTTATATATACAACATATTATATATGTACAACATATTATATATACAGCATATTATATATATACAACATATGATATATATATATATATACATATTATATACATATTATATCCATATGGTATCCATATTATATACATATTATATCCATATTATATCCATATTATATACATATTATATACATGTTATATTGTATTATTTCATATTATATTGTATAATATAATTATACTATATTGTATTATGTTATATTATATAATATTGTATTATATGATATTATACTATATTATATTAAATTATATTATACTATATTAAATTATGTTATATTATATTATATTATGTATATAATACAAAATATATTATATGCATTATATTTATTAAAAAACATACATTATATACATTATATATATACATTAAATATACATTAATTGTATATATATACATTATATACATTATATATGTATATACATCATGTATTATATATAATATTATCTATTAAATATAATTATATTATATTATATTATATTATACTATATTATATTATATTATACTATATTATATTATATTAAATTATATTGTATTATATCATGTTATATTGTATTATATCATGTTATATTGTATTATATTATATTATATTATATCTATGATACAATATATACAATATATACAATATATACATTATATACATTATATACATTATATACATTATATACATTTTATACATTATATACATTATATACATTATATACATTATATACATTATATACATTATATACATAATATACACTATATACATTATATACATAATATACATAATATACACTATATACATTATATACATTATATACATTATATACATTATATACATTATATACATTATAGATATATAAATATATATATATATACAACATGTATGATAAATACATATACGTATAAATTCTATACATATATAATATTATATTATACTATACTATACTATACTATATTATATTATATTATATTTTATTTTATTTTATTATATTATATATTTTATTATACTATAATATATTATATTATATTATGTATTATATATTATATGTTATATATTATATATTATATATTATATTATATATACATTATATAATTATATACATCATATAATATATAAATATAATGGCATGTATGGATTATCTACCAATCAAAATTCAGGAGCCATTCAAGCTGAGCTCCATGGCTGAAACATACTGAGCCCCGTTGCTGTCGCCATCTCTCAGAGACCGGTCGACCGGAGGGCCTCACCATGGATCCATCTGTGCTCCCACTCCACAAATCTCACTCGCCACCCTGCCTGGAACGGACTCTGGGACCCGCGGCCAAAGCTACACCCAGGTTGATGCGAAGAGGTTGCGTTCACACGTCAGGTCTGAATTGAACTTCATGCAATGATTCATGCAAGTCCAAACAGATTCATGCAATGCCAAGAAGGGCGGGATGTTCCTTCAATACGAACGCTGGAATTTTCGCTCGGCATGCCACAATCCAACATTGCGGCACATTGCAGCACTAGCTTTCAGCTGTGCCCTTTTATAGATGCAACGGACTAGAGTTCATTTGTTCTCATTTCAGGGGCAGTTTGTTACCAAGTTTTGTTTAATCTTGCAAACTACTTGAGGTTTTATCCCCCACAAATGACGCAAGCTGCAAGGTAGAGTAGAGAGATTTGAACCACTCTGCAGGCATTGCTCTGCACGTGGCTCTCCCAAAGCCCAGCACAGTGTCAGCTGTTGAGGGGATCAACGCCCTACAACCAGTGCACTGCGGATCATTGAAATAGGATCGGATCACACTGATCACACCTGCTTGCTACAGATCATCCCAATCCTAGGAGTCAAGGAGTGGCAAACTTTGGCACCTAAAGCATCAACAAGCATCAACAAGCATGAACATGCTCACAACATCTCACAACTTGAGGCAAAAAAGTCTGCAGTCAAGCATCGATGGGCTCCTCCTGCATAGCGGGGTGCATGCCCTCGTGGCAAGAATTGCAGCGCGAAGTCGTGCTGAGTCATGGGAACTGCCGGCGGCTGGCAAGCTAAGGTCACTACAGGAGGAAAATGTTCTGGAGGACCCATGAACTCCTCTCAACATCAGCACACGATGAATCTGATGATTCTGATGTCTCATCTGTACTAATAAAATAACAGACAAAGGAGCAGCCAAATGGACCATAGCACATGCGCTCCGGAGGTACATGGCCAGGCATGCCAGGTGGCATGGGTGGCATCCCAGGCAGGCCAGGTGGAGGAAATCCAATTGGCTGCTTCGGATTAGCCAATGCAGTGCTTTCTTTGTCTTTCTTGCTCTTCTTCTTTTTTCTTCCACCTAGGAAGTTTCAATGATCCGTGGCTGCCAAGAATTGAGGACTTCAAGCTGAGAAAAACTACCCGGCGGACCTGGCACCGGCCCATGATTGCTTAAAAATTCTTGTTTCGCTGTGGCGCCAGCTCGATTTCATGTGGGAAACAACCATGAAAAAAAAACATCCGTTTTGTGCTTCAAAACCCGGCGAACGATCAAAGTGGCCTTTTCTCTTCACCGCATGAGAGATCTTACAGCTTCGCCAGTGGCGGTCAGCAAGTCGAAGCCAGTGTGTTCGCATCTCCATTGGTGACTTCGAATGTATTTGAACAACAAACCATTGCGTTTGCCTTGGACTTGGGAACGAATGCTGTCTGGAATTGACTTTTTCATCAATTTCCAGTAGCGCAGCGTAGCCTCCCATCATGTCTTGCACTAGAGGCGAATGCGTAGCGTAGCATCACATCATGTCTTGCAGTAGTGACGAATGCTATCACACCCCACCCCACCCCATGCGTAGCGTAGTAGCCTCCCATCATGTCTTGCAGTAGTGACGAATGCGTAGCGTAGCATCACATCATGTCTTGCAGTAGTGACGAATGCGCAGCGTAGCCTCCCATCATGTCTTGCAGTAGTGACGAATGCGTAGCGTAGCATCACATCATGTCTTACAGTAGTGACGAATGCGTAGCGTAGCATCACATCATGAGTAGAGACGAATGCGTAGCGTAGCATCACATCATGTCTTGCAGTAGTGACGAATGCGTAGCGTAGCCTCCCATCATGTCTTGCAGTAGTGACGAATGCGTAGCGTAGCATCACATCATGTCTTGCAGTAGAGACGAATGCGTAGCGTAGCATCACATCATGTCTTGCAGTAGTGACGAATGCGTAGCGTAGCATCACATCATGAGTAAAGAAGAATGCGTAGCGTAGCATCACATCATGTCTTGCAGTAGTGACGAATGCTATCACACCCCACCCCACCCACCCCAATTTGTGGGCCGGTAAAAGGTCCGTCTGCTAAAACTAGGAAGGGGATCTAAACGGATGTAAGGTGATCGTACAAGGGGAGGGTGCAGTGAAAGCATAGCGAAAGCATGCGAAGCCATGATCCCCATTGGCTTCGGGCTGGATGAGGCACTGGAATTGGAACGGCTTCTTCGACCTGGACAGGTTGCCCTGGTGACATTCAAAATGCAAAGCCACTCGGCTTTTTTTCAATCACCGACAGGATGGTCATTGAGGGGTGTAAGCACGGTGTAAGTATTCTGTACCATGAGGACACAATCCTGATTCGGCCAGGCATAGATGCTTATTAATGTGTTGCCTCATGTTGCCTCTAGGCTAAGAAAAACTCTGATCTATGTCAAATGACCACGCTGCGGGGAGCAGCTTGAATCCAAGATCATCCCAAGCATCGCTTGGGGATAAAGAAAGCAGCCTAGCCTTTGCGAGACCGGCTTGGGTGTCTCGGCCTTGAAAAGGCGCACGTGCAGGACATGCAGTCAAGAAGGGAAAAGAAAAGTATTTTGCAAACATTGATGGGTTCCCTGGCTTGTGAATGTAATTTGGTACCTAATTTGAATACCCATTTGAATACCTCAAATCTGACCACCTGGTGCAAGACGGTGCAAGACTGTTCTAGATCTGGCCACAAACTCCTCTCTAAGTTCTTGTTTGCCCACATGTGAGCCATTTCTATAAACCCCAGCGGGTCCGGTGAAACCAGCTAGTGTAAGTCCCTATCAACCAACAGATAGATTGATGTACGTCAACTACGTCAACCATGAAACTATTCCCATCAAACCATCCCATACACAATGATGCAGTGAGCCTTCTGGGGTTGATCAACTAAGCCTCAAACTGCCCCGCTGGAGGCGGAGGCATGCCTGGGTGTGGGGGCACCCCATTCCTGGCACGTGCCAACATCGGTCTTAGTCTTCACTGATCCGCAATAAATATGTCAAACCAAATTAGAAAGTGGAATCAACATGTTTTCGGGTTTTCAATGTTTTGGAATCAAATTAGTGGAAGAATCATTCCAAGGATGGACAAACTGCAATCTGCAATTGCTCAAGAACACCAACAGTTGACTTCTATTCCGCGCAATTCTGCTGGACATCAAAAGGAGCCATGGTCACGGGAAGGGTGGCAAATGACCTGACGCCCAAGTGCGTTCAACCGGAGTAGCTGTGGCTGCTATTAGCTGTCATGAGCTTGCAGGCAAAGAGGAATTGTCACATGCTAAATCTCGACAAATCAAATATCATCAAACATCATCAAATATCAAGAAATATCAAGAAATATCATAGAAATATCATAGAAAGATAAGAATCCTCCAGGAATAAGCACGACCAGCGAAGCAAAACAGGTCGTCAAAGACAGACACGGCTAAAGTTTCGCCTCCTGGAGGCATTCCTGGAGGTGGTATGCCAGGTGGCATTCCAGGGGGCCTCAAAAGAGACAATGGAAAGGGAAGAACAGGACTGGAATGTGAGGTACTAGCCTATAATCAACTTATAGCTTCTTATAGCTTCTTATATATGCTCATGTCTTCTCATATTTTCTCATCTCATCTTTGCATGTATTTTCTCATGCTGTATCTTTTCTTTCATGATTCTCATGTCTCTGCAAAACATCTGCGGCTTGCAGTGGCTTGCAGCTTGCCTTGATTTGCGTGCGAGCCTTTTTCCACAGACTCGAGAGTTTCCAATGGAGTCCTTTGTCTATCCTCCTCAACCTACAAATAGATAATGGGGGAAAAATGATATGAACCTACCTACTGGTAAGTCCTGACCACCTGACCACCTGACCACCTCTGTATGGCCACGGCAAATCAGGACTTCAATTTTTGGATCTCTGCTTGGATGTCTCCTTAGCGTCGTGGCATGGCGGATCAAGCCTTGGACTGAAAGTTGGCTCATACTCTAGTCGAACTAGTCGAACAAAAATGGAAAATTAACGAAAAATGATGGAAGTACTTTGCAGGAGTCCACTCTGTTTGCAACTTTGAGCTACATTGAGCTACGACCTCTTGTGCGATGCTAATTTTGCTTGGGAAAGGTCCAGCCGTTTGCATCTGACAAAACGGGCTCCGCAAATCCGGAAAGGTCTAAGGTTCGAATCAACTCATCTTCGGAGGGCTGCTGGAACAGGGCCAGAAAACCACCACCAGTCCTCACAACGAAGCGTTCTTTTCAGTCCCAGTTTCTGTTGAAAATGTCAACCACTTTCCTACTATTGCTGCGTCAGCACGATGTGTCCCTGTGTGTATTAATTAACCAGCAATGATGGGATATATGGGGATATTAAATGATGTGCAATATGTATATATATATAATTAATTAATAAAATATACATATAATATAATATTATATAATGATATCGAATATATGAACAACGCTAACCATCAATGAATGTGAAAAATGTTGTTAAAAGCTGTAGACTTCAGCTTTCTCGCGAAGCGTCGCGCCGATCTGCTCGGAAATCTGGCGAAGACCGCTCGACAGTGATTCGGCCTGAAAATGTAAACTCAAAGGGCAACTTGCAATTAACTTCAGGGAGGCTTCCAAATCTCATTCCCTGACCGACCGACCCTGTAAGTAGTTTCTTGAGTCGAAACACATGCCAAAAGCAAAGACAGCTGAATGATGAAGCACATAACGTAGCACAAGAGCCAACAGTGCGCCAAGACACCCGCTTTTCCGCCGCAATCAAAGTCTCCTGGACTTCGGAAAGTTCGGCGAGTTCTTTCGAAGTTTGCGCCAGCTGTGCCTCAACACCACTTCACATACTTCACAGCAGTCTGAAGTCCATTTAAGGACGCTTCCGCGCTTCCCTTTGTTGTACTTCATGGCAGTTTTATGCGGGCACGATAAGAATAGTCTTGATTTCTGTTTGTGTAGGTAACTAAATTCCACCTCGCTCCGTTGATTGAAATAGCAAGGAAAAGAAGGTGTGCCGCCCTTTTTTGTAAACAAATGATTATCAATGATGATCAATGATGCTGATGAAAACTGTCTGTCCTCAGTCAAACGGGACTGCGCTTCACTGTACCGATGAACTTATTACTCAATCCACTCAACAAAATGAAGTTTGAGAAACAGTTACCGCATCAGGAGCTGCTATTGGCGGATTTAAAACTACAATGCAGGTGCGAACTGTTTGTTGTCCAACATACCAGGATCTATCAGGTACCTGCTCCTCCACTTTCAGCCACAATCCATCAGAAGGGATACATTTAGGGGCTACAAAGCTTGTCGAAACACAGCAAGTTGGCCGCTTGCATTCTCTCGTGGATTATTCCCAGCTGTGTTTTGGGCCCAGGTCTGGGGGTTCATTGTTTCCACTTAATGAGAACCCTTGACGATCCTTGAGGCGATTCTCTGCTAACGTGAAACGACCTGCAGTTTGACTAAGGTTCGGGGCAAAATGCAACTTGAGGCCGGGGGTGGATGACGAAAGCTAGCGGGGTAAGAGAAAGAAGGAGGGAAAACGCGGTTATGGTCAGCGAGGGAAGGTCCGCGGTGGAGCCGCTGCAGAGGCACAGAGACAGAGAGAGAGAGAGAGAAGACGTGAAGATGTGAAGATGATGGTGATGATGATGATGATGACGAGGACGATGACGAGGACGAGGACGATGACGAGGACAAGGACGAGGACGATGATGATGATGATGGTGATGATGATGATGATGACGATGACAAGGACGATGGCGAGGACGATGACAATGAGGATGATGATGACGATGATGATGATGACGATGATGATGATGGTGATGGTGATGGTGATGATGATGATGATGATAAAGATGATGGTGACGATGACGAGGACGATGGCGAGGACGATGATGATGATGATGATGACGATGATGATGATGATGATGGTGGTGATGGTGGTGGTGGTGGGGCCTTTCGTGTGAAAAATCACGTGATGTCCTTGAGCAGCCCCCGGAATACTTGCTAAAGCAAGAAGACTCCAGCTAGCTGACGCTAGCTTTCGTGATCAGAAATCTGATGCTGCTGATGCTGCTGATGATGACAAAGATATTGTATGCAATTTGTATATCTTTGAGAATTGTGCATCCAGGTGACCTGTAGCTCCTGATTGTCTCTCTCAAGAGCTGCTGCCCGTCGCTGGCTTCCCTCTGCCTTTTCGCGTAAGAGGGAAGGGTCCTCGGGGCATGGAAGGCAAGCATCCCTCTGCACCTGGCAATATAAACAGCCCAAAAATTGACGTTTGACATATGTTTTCTTCAGCAGTTGTGGTTTAGAAATAAAGTGGTGTTAAGATGTGTTAAGTTAAGTACTGATTGCATCGGATTGCCGTGGTTAAGAGTTTCCAGTGGCGCAGTCCTCACCATCATCGACAAATGGAGCGGTGATTTCCTCAGCTCGAATGGAAAGAGTTTGGAACTCAGATCTTCGAGTCTGTCCTGGCACAGACTCCACAGACGTCCAGAAACTTTGCTTCTGACCGTCATTGCCAATTCAAATCGAGCCAGTCTGCAAAAATGGCGAGAATGAATGAATATGAATGAGAATGGCATACGCTGGTGCTGAATTGACTCATTGGCCTGGGATTGTTCTGGCTCGTTTTCCGCCGCTTCCAGTCTAGTCATGCCGCACCATGTTAAAGCCAAGAGACCCCAATCCTTAGTTGGTAGGGCAAGAGTCGAGTCATGAGACATCGGGATTTCCAGTGTGCCACCATGTTGTGACTCATGCTACATGAAATCAAACATGTTGAGCCAGAATTCAGAAGGTCTGCCAGCACTCTTGGTTTCCACTCTTACTAGCTAAAATGATGTTCAAATCAAACGAGGGCTGGCAGACAGATCTGCTCGGGTCAAAATGTGAAGCAAGCGGGAACCTGGTGTGGGTCATGAGATGTTGAGAGATTTTGTGACATTAATATTATTATATATACCACGATGTGCCAAGTCTCTTTTTCAGGACTTCCTTCAACTGTCTGGTGTCCTCAGAGTCGTCTTGCACCTTCTTCAGAGACTCCTCCAGGCTTTTTGCTCTTGTCAAGGCCTGTTCCTTCTCCAACTGCATCTGGAAGACGTCAGACTCCTTTGCTGCGCCTTGGTGGTATTTAACATTGTTCAACCGCAGGTCTGCACATCTAATGCACTCCCTTTGAATATGAACAAACTTGAACAACCTTGAACAATATTGAAAATCATTTTCATAATTTTCCATTGCTGTGCTTCGGACACTTTTCCTGAGCTGCCCGAAGGCTCTCTTTGAGCTCTTGGATCTGCGCAGAGTCCTGCAGTCAATTGCAGTCGTGCCTCTGTGTGCAAAGGCAGCCCAACAATATCCAACGATTCTAAATTAATCGACCTCACGACTTATATCCGTTACAGTACATCCTCTGGTTTTGCTTTTCCAACTGATTCGTCATACGTTAGCAACCGTGCACAGCCCTCACCACTAGACTGCTACCGTCCTTTTCCTTGTCCGCTTGCAACAGGGATAATTCCGACTCCTTTGCTGCACCTTGGTGGTTTCCACATGTTTCCACTACAACGACGCTGGATACTGGAAAGGATATCTTCAAAAAGCAACCAAAAATATCCAGCATATCGAGTCATATCAAGTCTATGTTGACCCCACTGCTGTGGTTCCGACAGTTGTCCTGCGCTTTCTCAAGGCTTTCTTTGAGCTTTTTGATCTGCGCAGAATCCTGCAATTGTATGCAATTGTGTCGTAAGAGGCATCCCAGCAAATGTTGGAAAATCTTCTGGAACCACAGAAACATACAGAAACAACTGCCCAACCTCCTCCAGTTTTGCTGTTCCAATCAATTGGGCCACTTTCTGCGCGTCCGCAAGACTCCTTGAAATGATGAGAGCTCAGGGGGAAGTGACTGGCTGTGGTGTCCAAGTCAGCATATTAATCAAGCGAGTTTCTTCTGATCTGGCCCACCAGGTCGCCGGAACTGTTTCTTTTCGTTTTCCTGAGAATTCGACGTGAAAATTACGGAGACTGGCTGGAAGCACATGGCGGCACCAAGGCATCTCTCCAATCAGCCAAGGAGCAGCTGCCGCTTTGGTCGCTTGCTCATTCCTTTCCTGCCCAAATGTGTTGGAAAAATGGACCTGATGAAATCGGTACGGGTGAAACAGGCACCAGGCCTTGTAGCTCTCCAGTTCTTCCACTTGCCTTTTCAGAATTTCATTCGAAGAATTTGACCTGAGGAAATAGCATGAGTGAAGGATGTTCCCAGGTCAGCTGGTTCGAAAAACACAGTAGCTGCTGGTGTCATTCAGGTTTTATGCATATCCCGCGTACAAGTACAGCGTCATGTTGACAAAGCATGCATTGCAGGATCCAGTGCCGATTTCTCATCTTTTGGGACGAGAAACTGGTTGAGTTCTTTCTCAAGGAAGGCAATATGAGCCTTGAAGCAGCTAAGTGTTGTCAATCCAAACCATTCCAAACCCAACATGTTCAAAGGTGTCAGTGTAAAACTTTATGTCATGCCATCTCGGGCACATGCATGCTACCGCATCCCAACAACCCAAGAAGGAAAAACGCTGTAAGGAGTAAGGATGTGAGTAGTGCAGAGTTTGGTTTTTGGGGCACTTAGCAAAGTGGGGCCCAAGTACGCTGCTGCACAAAGCTGCGTTTGCAATCACACTGGGCATCGCAAGGCTGGTAAGGGCAAAATGGCTCACTGTTTCTCCTGGAAAGCTTGAATGATCTTTACACAATCGAGAGGTTGGACCACTTGATTATCGTTTTAGATGTTCGCCTTACGCAGGTTCTGCCAGAAGCGTTCTTATTGCACAAAAAAAACTAGAATCATCCGGTCACTGGATGCTTCTTGCACTCCTCAAGTACTCTCTTCGATCCGAATCGATGTGTCCTGCCTCCAGTGCCTTTGACACATTTGATGCTGGGGCAGGGCTATCGCTCTTTGGCACGTCCTTCTCTGCCTAGCGACAGCTTGTGAATTTGGTGGGCTGACCAGGCTGCGCGTTAAACCACATCAGCACATTGTCGTCATCACACCCACTTCCCGTGTCAGTACTTGGTGTGACAGCAGCATGCTGATGCAAATGATCTTTCAGCGAGCTGGCCAACTACAAGAGCACCTTCTGCACAGGCGTGGAAGCAGTGGTTTCCACCACAGTCGTCTTTGAAGCCTGCTTGACATGGAAGCTGAGTCCGGCTCCGACTCACCGATTAGTCCGCAGTTGTGCTCATATGAATATCTTCTACAGTAACATCTATACATATTGTTCTGGAGACAAACCCCAAGGATCTAGAGATTCTTGGGCTCAAAGCTTTCAGCCATGCTGCGGTATCTTGGAATACCATGTATCTGTTGTGTACGCAAGTCACACTTCTGACCATCTCAAGATATTGGCTCACTCCCTGCCTCTGCTGCTGCCTTTGATGCCTTTGATGCTGGGGCAGGGCTATCGCTCTTTGGCACATCCTTCTCTGCCTAGGGACAGCTTGTGAATTTGGTGGGCTGACCAGGCTGCGCGTTAAACCACATCAGCACATTGACGTCATCACACCCACTTCCCGTGTCAGTACTTGGTGTGACAGCAGCATGCTGATGCAAATGATCTTTCAGCGAGCTGGCCAACTACAAGAGCACCTTCTGCACAGGCGTGGAAGCAGTGGTTTCCACCACACTCCTCTTTGAAGCCTGCTTGACATGTAAGCTGAGTCTGGCTCCGACTCACCAATTAGTCAGCAGTTGTGCTCATATCTTCCATTGTAACATCTACATATTGTTCTGCAGACAAACCAGAAGGATCGAGATACTTTTGGGCTCAAAACTTTCAGCTATGTATCAGTTGTGTACGCAAGTCACACTTCTGACCATCTCAAGATACTGGCTCGTTCCCTGCCTCTGCTGCTGCCTTTGACGCCTTTGATGCTGGGGCAGGGCTATCGCTCTTTGGCACATCCTTCTCTGCCTAGCGACAGCTTGTGAATTTGGTGGGCTGACCAGGCTGCACGTTAAAACACATCAGCACATTGACGTCATCACACCCACTTCCGCGAATGTGTCGGTACTTGGTGTGACAGCAGCATGCTGATGTAAATGATCTTTCAGCGAGCTGGCCAACTACAAGAGCACCTTCTGCACAGGCGTGGAAGCAGTGGTTTCCACCACAGTCGTCTTTGAAGCCTGCTTGACATGTCTGCTGAGTCCGGCTCCGACTCACCGATTAGTCCGCAGTTGTGCTCATATGAATATCTTCTACGGTAACATCTCTACATATTGTTCTGGAGACAAACCCCAAGGATCTAGAGATTCTTGGGCTCAAAGCTTTCAGCCATGCTGCGGTATCTTGGAAATACCATGTATCTGTTGTGTGCGCAAGTCACACTTCTGACCATCTCAAGATACTGGCTCGTTCCCTGCCTCTGCTGCTGTCTTTGACGCCTTTGATGCTGGGGCAGGGCTATCGCTCTTTGGCACGTCCTTCTCTGCCTAGGGACAGCTTGTGAATTTGGTGGGCTGACCAGGCTGCGCGTTAAACCACATCAGCACATTGTCGTCATCACACCCACTTCCCGTGTCAGTACTTGGTGTGACAGCAGCATGCTGATGCAAATGATCTTTCAGCGAGCTGGCCAACTACAAGAGCACCTTCTGCACAGGCGTGGAAGCGGTGGTTTCCACCACACTCGTCTTTGAAGCCTGCTTGACATGTAAGCTGAGTCTGGCTCCGACTCACCAATTAGTCAGCAGTTGTGCTCATATCTTCCATTGTAACATCTACATATTGTTCTGCAGACAAACCAGAAGGATCGAGATACTTTTGGGCTCAAAACTTTCAGCTATGTATCAGTTGTGTACGCAAGTCACACTTCTGACCATCTCAAGATACTGGCTCGTTCCCTGCCTCTGCTGCTGCCTTTGACGCCTTTGATGCTGGGGCAGGGCTATCGCTGTTTGGCACATCCTTCTCTGCCTAGCGACAGCTTGTGAATTTGGTGGGCTGACCAGGTTACGCAGTAGTCATCACGAACGCATTGAGTCACAAACCTTTGCGGCTGCCTTGAAGCTGAGAAGCTTTTGTCTCCCTCCATAAGACAATTTGTTTGGAAGAGGCTTTGCTCCTAAAAGTCCTTTTTCCTAAATATCAAGCTCGACCAAACCTCTACATCTGGTGGTGGCGGCGGCGGCGGTTTTGTAGCCTGATTCATGCAGCATGATTGGAAATGCACATGATTGAAAACTGACACTGACTTGCTGATTTAGTGGGACGCCGGAAAAGAGTGAATATAAGGTTCCCTCTTGTCTTCTGCGTGCGCACATATGTTTAAAGTGGTCATGTTTGAGTGTGTATATGTATGTGTATATATATATGTATATATCAATGTCCTTATCGGAACACTGCCATTCAAGGAGGATTCATTAATTCATAACAACCTACAGGGAGCAAATGGAATATTCAATATTCTGCAGATGATCTCCTAGCTTGATTTGTGGTGCTGCATTAAGTGCCTCCAACTCCTCTCAGGCATATTTGAAGGTACAATGACTTCCACATGCAGTTCCATCTGTGATTTGGACAATCTACTGGTCAGGAATGGTGGTCAGAACACTGTCATACAAATAGCAAAGGATCCACCGTTCCTCACAGGAAGTATGGGAATCAACTGCAGCTGTGAGACTGGAGAAGGGTTCGAACTGCTCTTTGCCTTTGCCTCCCACGAACTGCAGCGCTACTTCTCTTCATTGCCACTAGCCATAATTATGTTACACTCACATCAATGATGATGTGCGGAAATCCGCCGGCCTGCCGGCGTGTCTGATTGTGAGGTGTTGTTCTTGTTTCTGTTCTTGTTTTGTACTTGTTTCTGTTCTTGGCTTGTACTTGTTCCTTTGTTCTCTTCCCGCGCGTTTTTGCTTCGTCTGAATCAAAGTCACCCCCCCCCTCCCCCCTCCCTACTACTACTACTACTGCTACTACTACTACTACTGCTACTACTGCTACTACTGCTGCTACTGCTACTACTACTACTACTGCTACTACTACTACTACTATTACTACTACTACTACTACTACTCCTCCTCCTCCTCCTACCCACTCCTACTCCCACTCCTACTCCCACTCCTGCTCCCACTCCTACTTCCACTCCTACGCCTCCTCCGACGCCTACTCCGACTTCGACTCGTCAGAAGTTTACGCACACAAGCTTTTGCACACAGAAGCTTTTGCACACAGAAGCCTTTACACACAGAGGCGTTCCCGGCTTCCGTCCAAAAAGCTCTCCCCCAGCAGAGTGAAGGATTTCTAGTGATTTTTTTTCCACCCAAAAGCTTTTACACACAGAAGCTTTTACACACTGAAACTTTTACACGCGGAAGCTTTTATACACAGACACTTTTATACACAGGCGCTTTTACACACAAGCGCTTTTTACACACAGAAGCTTTTACACACAGAACCTTTTACACACAGAGGCTTGTACACACAGAAGCTTTTACACACAGAAGCTTTTACACACAGAACCTTGGACACACAAAAGATTTTACACGCAGAAGCTTTTCACAGCAGCTTTTACACACAGAGGCTTTTACACACAGAAGATTTTACACACAGAACCTTTGACACACAAAAGCATTTACACACAAAAGCGTTTACACGCAGACGCTTTTACGCACAGAAGCTTTTACCCACAGAAGCTTTTACACGCAGAAGCTTTTACACACAGCGGCTTTTACTCACAGACACTTCTACACACAGAACCTTTTACACGCAGACGCTTTTACACACAGAAGCTTTTACACACAGAAGCTTTTACCCACAGACGCTTTTACACACAGAAGCTTTTACACACAGAAGCTTTGACGCACAGATGCTTTTATACACAGAAGCTTTTTCACACAGAAACTTTCACACACAGACGCTTTTACACACAGAAGCTTTTACACACAGAAGCCTTTACACACAAAAACTTTTACACACAGACGCTTTTACACACGGAAGCTTTTACACACAGAAGCTTTTACACACAGAAACTTGTGCACACAGACGCTTCTACACACAGAAGCTTTTACACACAGAAGCTTTTACACACAGAAACTTTTACACACAGAAACTTTTACACACAAACGCTTTTACACACAGAAGCTTTTACACACAGAAGCTTTTACACACCGCAGCTTTTACACACAGACGCTTTTACACGCAGAAGCTTTTACACATAGACGCTTTTACACACAGAAGCTTTTACACACAGAAGCTTTTACACACCGCAGCTTTGACGCACTTATACACACAGAAGCTTTTACACGCAGACGCTTTCACACACAGAAGCTTTTACACACCGCAGCTTTGACGCACAGATGCTTTTACACACAGAAGCTCTTACACACCGCAGCTTCGACGCACAGATGCTTTTACACACAGAAGCTTTTACACACCGCAGCTTTGAAGCGCAGATGGTTTTTCACACAGAAGCTTTTACACACCGCAGCTTTGACGCACAGATGCTTTTACACACAGAAGCTCTTACACACCGCAGCTTTGACGCACAGATGCTTTTACACACAGAAGCTTTTACACACCGCAGCTTTGAAGCGCAGATGGTTTTTCACACAGAAGCTTTTACACACCGCAGCTTTAACGCACAGATGCTTTTACACACAGAAGCTTTTACACACCGCAGCTTTGACGCACAGATGCTTTTACACACAGAAGCTCTTACACACCGCAGCTTTGACGCACAGATGCTTTTACACACAGAAGCTTTTACACACCGCAGCTTTAACGCACAGATGCTTTTACACACAGAAGCTTTTACACACCGCAGCTTTGACGCACAGATGCTTTTACACACAGAAGCTTTTACACACCGCAGCTTTGAAGCGCAGATGCATATACACACAGAAGCTTTTACACACCGCAGCTTTGACGCACAGATGCCTTTACACACACAGAAGCTTTTACACACCGCAGCTTTGACGCACAAATGCTTCTACACACAGACGCTTATACACACAGACGCTTTCACACACAGAAGTTTTACACACCGCAGCTTTGACGCACAGATGCTTTTACACACAGAAGCCTTTACACACCGCAGCTTTGACGCACAGATGCTTTTACACACACTTGCTCAGAAATATCTTATCGAATTACTGATGTGGAATGCATCATACGTGCAAAAATCACCTCAGTAAACCTGACAGGAACGGTTTGGATGATTAGAAGTGAGAAACTGTGCGAAGGAAATCTTTCTACGTCCTTGCTCGAAGGATTTACTGGTTCTGATGCAGCTCAGTCAGATTGCGAAAACCGTACAGTTGGTTGGTATGAAAACAGTTCGAGAAAACGACATGCCGGTGCTTGGCTTGGCCGGTCGCCATTTCAGAAATTGGAAAAATTGCAGGTACGTTTTCACATCATGGAAATGGATGGGTCTTCGTTGGCCCGTGCCATCCATGTGCCCACGGGCCCCCTGCTAAGTTAAAGTTTTACATCTTTTCAGACGGTTCACACACACACCCTCCCGCAGGAGGGTGGGAAATTAAGGTCCCGACAATGAGATGAAAATGAAGAGGAAGGGAAATGAAGATGAGGTGAAGATGACAATGAGATGAAAGTTACTTAACCAGGACGCAAAGAGGGGAACGCAAAAGAAGAGGGAAAGAGCAAACACCAACACATGAAACCTAGCCCAAAACGGGCAACCCTGGAAAGGCAAGGAAAAAGAAAAGCGGAGGCCGACGAAAACGGAACAAGACCAGCGGAGGAGGGGGAAGACAGAAGCGCCTGAACCAACCTGACACGGCGAAAACCTACATCAACCTAAGCACGCAACGGGCCAAACCTACCTGGAGAAAGGAGAACGCAAGAACAGATGAAATAGGGGGCCCATGGGGAACTAGTTAATGACGTGATGCATCCACATTAGCGTGCAAGTTTCCCCTTGTTAGGCTCAATGGCCTGAGTTCAAGTCAACCCCATAGACGGCTGTCAGTATTCAAATGAATTACGTGCACAGTTGAACCTCACCAACGACCAAAAAAGAAGAAACACCAAACCTGCAAGCATGTCCTGTTGCCTGTTTATATGAAAATGGCTGCGAGTATGCGCTTGAGCTTCACTGGAAAAGGAGGTTGTTGTCGCGGCTTCCAACTATGCAAGAAGAAGGCTCAGAAACGGTGAGACCCTGGTACAGCGGGCAGCAGTTTCAACACAAACGACATCGACAGGTGAGAATCGAAAAAGGCCGGCAGTTCACTTTACTTAAACGAATTACTAATTCAAAAGTGTAAATTCAGACATCGATTTGCTGTCAATTGTTAGCCTGGAAAGGCTTTCCCCGAAGGGTTCCTGCCAACTTGACGTATACAGCAGGAATGACGCACTTGCTCAGAAATATCTTATCGAATTACTGATGTGGAATGCATCATACGTGCAAAAACACCTCAGTAAACCTGACAGGAACGGTTTGGATGATTAGAAGTGAGAAACTGTGCGAAGGAAATCTTTCTACGTCCTTGCTCGAAGGATTTACTGGTTCTGATGCAGCTCAGTCAGATTGCGAAAACCGTACGGTTGGTTGGTATGAAAACAGTTCGAGAAAACGACATGCCGGTGCTTGGCTTGGCCGGTCGCCATTTCAGAAATTGGAAAAATTGCAGGTACGTTTTCACGACATCATGGAAATGGATGGGTCTTCGTTGGCCCGTGCCATCCATGTGCCCACGGGCCCCCTGCTAAGTTAGAAGTTTTACATCTTTTCAGATGGTTCACACACACACACTGGCCTTGTTTTTGTCCAGGCCACGGTCTGTGACTACGCCGAAGGCTCATATAAAATGTCTCTACGCACCAAATGGCTATGGCCGGCGGGCTTGCCGCAGGCAATTAAATTCAAGATGTGTTACTATATTATACCATATTCTTGTCCCAGCAGAAACATGTTAAAATCAGGCTGCACAAGTTTTAAAAATGCTGCAAGCCGTAATGGCCACGCCTGTGGGACAGGTGGTGGACCAGGTGGAGGTGGAGGTGGAGGCGTGTTCGATGCAGCACCCTTGTCCTGTGCACCGGAGAGGATGATCCACGTGCATGTTGGGCATGTCGGGCATGTCGCATACCGAATATGACCCACGGGCAACCTGCTCCAAGTGTCTCCTGTGCAGCTCTCAAAGTCGACTCAATAGGTTGGCATCGAGCAGGTTTGCCTACGCAGCTGGGGCTAAAGCCATCAGATGGAAAAAGCTGACTGCAATGTGCCATGCCAAGGTGCGGCGTTGGCTTCCAAGCCATGTCAACAGCATCGCCGCTGTGCCACACACAACAGACCTGGATGTTACAGATGTTACAGTAGGGTTTTGAAAGTTGCAGAAAATATCCCAGCTTTTGCACATTGTTTCACACCAATGCATGCCGATTCTGCATCTAAGAGGCTTGAAATGTCTGTTCGCTTTTGGAGTATGAGCAACTTCCCGGCTCACAGGGGTAGTGAACTGAACAGAATGCACAGAATGCAGTCCGTTTTTGGAAAGCACCGAAGGGTCCAACTCACGCCATGGTGCAACAAATTGTAGTCGTTCCTCTGCGCAGCCGAATCAGATCACGACATGGGATCAATTTATTGGGCTACACAGGTGTTGCATGGTGACCTCAACCGGGGCTCAGCATGGATCTCTCGAATCTATGGACTTTGTAATTTTGATCCATCCCCAGTTGGGAGACCCTGGCACTCCACTCAGAAGGCAACTTTCATCATTCAGCGGAAAATCTGATGTGTTGAACACCAAACTGACACTTGGATGGCAGCTCAAAGGACTCACCGGATCAACGCACACCACTTGCAACCAAGCAGCCATGCTGCCGGTTTTGAAGGATGTTCACGAAGCCAAATACTGTATATAATTCTATGTATTTCCGTCAATCTAATCAGCCTTTCTAAGCTTTCTGCCAACAAGTCATCTGGCTGCCCACACTGATTGCCTGCTGCTGTTAAGTGTTGTTTGTTGCTGGGATGTTGCATCCATCGTCCTCTGTGACTAGCTCAAGCAAAGTGCTGCAGGGTTGTCTGGTGTTTCCTGCACAAATCTCGGCACCAAAGTGGCAGATCCCGCACCACGGAATCCAAAATGTAATTTGAGCCTCTAGTAACTTCAATAGTTACGGAATACCTAGACAATCATTTCAAAGGAAGACCATCGTATCAAAGACTGATGACCTGTTTCGGCTACGCCCGGCTTGGCTCTCTGACATTCCTGGCAGCAGTGGCATCATTCCTGGCGGCCTCGAGCAAGCGAGGCAGCAACGGCAACGACAGCAGGAACAGCAACAGCAACACCGCCAACAGCAAAAAAGCAAGGACCAAAAGCAAGAACCAACAGCAACAGTAAAATCTACCAACAACCTTGAACGGTAAAAACAGCATCGGTTTCTATATAATGACATATGTGTGTGCTATCCTTTTTCATGGGCTGAAGAATGGCACTGGCTCAAGTCGCGCTGAGTTTGATCAGATTTTCTGAGACGATTTGAACCACACCAGCCCTTGAACTGTTTTTTAAAGGATGTAGGTGGCAACAAACAATCAAAAACCCACTTTGAGCCACATTGGATTCGCCGTTGGCACATTTTGTTTTGGCGCCCTGGGAATCCAGCGGAGGCATGGTCATCATCGGCGGCGGAGCACCTGGCATTCCTGGCCTAAGCGAGCAGTCTGGTCAGACATAGCAGGATCGAGCGATGAAACGTGTTTCAAATGCAGCAACATTCAGCCAAGTTGCGGCGGCATGCCTCAGTGACCACTGGTTAAATTAAAAGCTGCCTCCAAAAAAACGAATATGATACATGAATGATACATGAATGATACATGAATGATACATGAATGATACATGAATGCTAAAAAGTATCTAAAAATGGGAATCTCTAACCACACCTGGCACTGGAAAGAATGGTGGTGCTCCAGGTGGACCTGGTGAAAATCCACAACGAATCGTCCCTTCAGAGGCACCGCCTTCGCAACTCGCCTGGAAAGGGAAACGCTGCGTTGCCTCCTGGTCCCCGTAGCCTGACCAGCTGGGCTTCTCCAAAGGCCACCAAGATTTAGTCAAAAAGGGCAGACATGTCCACGTTCTTGGTGCAGATGGGTGATACATTATGTATTATGATGTATTATGATGTATTATGATGTATTATGATGTATTATGATGTATTATGATGTATTATGATATATTATGATGTATTATGATGTATTATGATGTATTATGATGTATTATGATGTATTATGATGTATTATGATGTATTATGATGTATTATGGCGTACTGTGTACGAGTATATCTACTTGGTTCTCTAGGTATAGTATACTGCGAGTATGTGAGAACAATATAGAATAATGAAGGCAATATAGCTATACAAATCTATACAATGCTATACTCATATGCAGCAGCCCAACTCATCATCAAATGTCGTCAGCAACCCGTGGCCTTGCCGCATCAGCTGCCTCCTCTGGAGTCATGGCTGGATCTTTCACCAAGCCCAACCTGGTGGGCCACGGCGGGTGCCATGCTGCAGCTTTCACGGCTTTCACACCAATGACTTTCTCGGAACTGTATGACTGTCTGATACTGTCTGCGTCTTGGAAGGCTCTAAGGCTCTAAGATGCTCCAAGTCATGGGCTCACTCCGAGCAAAGGTCACATCTTTGATGATCAGTGGAAAGGCCTGGTGCTGCAAGGGAACGACCCACCGGACGAGCCCTGGCCCACCCGCCGTGGCCCGACCCACGCCTCTTCCAGCTGAGCTCTGGTGCCGAAGATCTGTTGCGTGCCAAGGCGGCCAAGCACGACAACAGATACTCATAAGCTGACTCATACTGTTGCTATTAGCTGCTATCTCTAGTTGTACTAAAAAGTGACAAGTCTTGACAAATTGGATTTAATCATATACTACATGATACTACCAAACAATGGCAAAAAGTGATAGGTCACCAAAGAGTTCCTGCATACATCGTTGATAAGTTGCGATTGATTGTAAATGGTACCCACCACATCAATCCACCAGGGGTTGATAAATCCTGGGTAAACATAAGATGTTGTCACTATCACAAGGCATCCGAAGTCTCGCACCTGAATGGCTCGCTCTGCATGCCCCTGATCTCTAGTCTCCGTTCTTTCGACCTGTGAATCAACGCATGCCAATCCGCCAATCGGGATCAATCAGGTAAACGAGTACGTTAAAAAAAACCACATTTTCACAGATATGATGTTCTGTAAATCCGCCGACCCCGGCAGACGCAAGGGGGAGCGCGTCAGGGCAGAGAGGTTGTGAACAACAACACCAGCACCAACACCAACACTGAACAACAACACCAACACCAACACCAACACCAACACCAACACTGAACAACAACACAAGCACCAACACCAACACCAACACCAACACCAACACTGAACAACAACACCAGCACCAACACCAACACCAACACCAGCACCAACACCAACACCAACACCAACACCAACAACAACAACAACAACAACACAACCTTCAGGGCCATGGTGTATCCCCGTCCGGCACGGCCGTGTCTTTGTGGGCAAAGCAGCAGCTTTGTGAGGGGTCAGCTGCAGTAGTAGCAGCAGCAGCAGCAGGAACAGGAGGCCCAGCAGCCACCAGCAGCAGCAGCAGCATGGCAGACCAGCAGAAGTCCAATAATACACCAGCAGGAACAGCCAGAACAGCAATCTAGCAGCAGGAACAGTCGGAACAGCAGGCCCAGCAGCAGCAGCAGCAGCAGCAGCATAGCAGAACAGCAGAAGTCAATATAGCTATCTATATAGCTTTATAGCTATCTATATAGCTTTCTAGTAGGATTTCAGAAGGGACGTTCCGGCCTCCGGGGAGCTTGTTCTTGTGAATGATTTCGCGTCATTTTCGGCACGAAATTAGGTGGTGTTTTGCTGTTTCGAGTGGGTTTCGAAAAAGATGTCTGGCTGTTGGTTTCTTGCAGCCGAAACAGCAAGAGCAGCAGCAGCAGCAGCAGGAACAGGAGGCCCAGCAGCCACCAGCAGCAGCAGCATGGCAGACCAGCAGAAGTCCAATAATACACCAGCAGGAACAGCAAGAACAGCAATCTAGCAGCAAGAACAGTAGGAACAGCAGGCCCAGCAGCCACCAGCAGCAACAGCATAGCAGAATAGCAGAAGTCAAACTAGCTTTCTATTTCTATCTAGTAGGATTTCAGAAGGGACGTTCCGGCCTCCGGGTAGCTTGTTATCGCGAATGATTTCGCGTCATTTTTGGCACGAAATTATGTGGTGTTTTGCTGTTTCGAGTGGGTTTCGAAAAAGATGTCTTGCTGTTGGTTTCTTGCCTTGGAGGCTGGCTCATGGCACGGCAGGAGCAGCAGCAGCAGCATCAGCAGACGCCAGCACCAGCATCACCACCACCAGAAGAAGCAGCAGCAGATGCAGCCGCAATACAGCGGCAGGAACAGCAAGAGCAGCAGCAGCAGCAGCAGCAGGAACAGGAGGCCCAGCAGCCACCAGCAGCAGCAGCATGGCAGACCAGCAGAAGTCCAATAATACACCAGCAGGAACAGCCAGAACAGCAATCTAGCAGCAGGAACAGTCGGAACAGCAGGCCCAGCAGCAGCAGCAGCAGCAGCTGCATAGATCATTTTCTTCATAGCGGCAGCAAGAGGAAAAAGGAGCCAAAAGCATCACATCATTTTCTATCGGTTTCAGAAGTTACGTTAGGCATTTTCGGGGTGCAATTTTGGGGCTTCTCTGCCCTTCAAAATTCATAGCAGCAGTAAGAGGAAAAAGGAGCCAAAAGAATCATTTTCTATCGGTTTCAGAAGTTACGTCAGGCATTTTCGGGGTGCAATTTTGGCGCTTCTCCGTCCTTCAGAGGCATGGTGTTTCTCTGCCGGGAGGTGATTTTTTCCATGGTGTGTTCCCATCCGAGGACCAGCAGCAGCAGCAGCAAAAGCCTCTGCAGCAGCAGGCGGAAAAGGTAGCCAGAATTCATAGCAGCAGCAAGGAAAAAAAAAGCAGCCAAAAGCATCATTTCATCATCATTTTCTATGGGTTTCAGAAGTTACGTTAGGCATTTTCGAGGTGCAATTTTGGGGCTTCTGTGTCCTTCAGAGGCATGGTGTTTTCCCATCTGGGGACCAGCAGCAGCAGCAGCAAAAGTTTCTGCAGAAGCAGGAGGTTTCAGAAGTTATCTTAGACATTTTCGGGGTGCAATTTTGAGGCTTCTCCATCATTCAGAGGCATGGTGTTTCCCTGCCGGGACGTGATTTTTTCCATGGTGTTTTCCCATCCGAGGACCAGGTGTGTTCCCATTTCGGGAATGGATGTAAAAGGTAGCCACAATTCATAGCAGCAGCAAGAGGTAGCCAAAATTCATAGCAGCAGCAAGCGGAAAAAGGAGCCAAAAGCATCATTTTCTATCGGTTTCAGAAGTTACGTTAGGCATTTTCGGGGTGCAATTTTGGGGCTTCTCCGTCCTTCAGAGGCATGGTGTTTCCTTGCCGGGAGGTGATTTTTTCCATGGTGTTTTCCCATCCGAGGACCAGCAGCAGCAGCAGCAAAAGCCTCTGCAGCAGCAGGCGGAAAAGGTAGCCAGAATTCATAGCAGCAGCAAGAAAAAAAAAAGCAGCCAAAAGCATCATTTCATCATCATCACATCATTTTCTACGGGTTTCAAAAGTTACGTTAGGCATTTTCGAGGTGCAATTGGGGCTTCTCCGTCCTTCAGAGGCATGGTGTTTTGCTGCCGGGAGGTGATTTTTTCCATGGTGTTTTCCCATTTGGGGACCGGATGTAAAGGTAGCCAAAATTCATAGCAGCAGCAAGAGGAA